TATGATTTTTTTGGAAAACCGGAAAAAAACATGGGAAAACGGTAAAATCGGTAAAATATTAAACAAATATTATTAAAGAAAATATATAATGCCTATTTAATTATTTAACTATAATATGTCATACACAATATATATTGTAGAAAAAGCATCTGTGCTCAAAATCGTTTTTTCGTTAGCAGTAGTTTATCGTTGCTTGTAGTTATTGAATTACCTATAACAATGGCTGCACCTGTCTCCATTATCCTAGGACGTCTTTTTATAATACAATTTTGAATTTTCGATATAGTCTTACAAATCTGTTAATGACTTTGTTAATATCAATTTTATCATTTCTGTAGATATTTATGAGAGCTAATCTTGTCAGTCGGTTTTCCCCAATATTATTTCTTAAACAAGTTATCGCTATATATAGACATTTTAATTTTGCGAATTTTGTACGTAATTTTTATTCGGTAGGTACTCTGTGGTAAAATTGTTAGACTTAACAGAAATGCTTGAAAATTTAACAGGCGGTTCATTAAATCTTACTTTGTGGTAAAAAAAAAAAAATTAAGTTTAATGTAGTATTTCTTTTTATAAAGGAATTTTGATACTATATTTTGACGACAATTGTTTGAGTAACAAAATATGTGGATCAAATCTAATTTTTCAAGTTTTTTGTTTCGAAAATATGTGTATTGCCGATTTAAGAAGGATGGTAAAGTCAGAATTGAGCGGACTGATCAATTTTCGAAATTATAGTTTTTTGAATTTCAGATATTATGCAGATGTTTATGTTAAATAACTCTATATTGTTTACTTTTTTATACGTTTGTTGTAGTCGAATGGTCTTGAATACGTATGACAATGCAATAGGTTACGGGTTTCAATCTCGGAGTTTGTAAAATAATTTGTTTACACTTTTTTCCCCCTTTTACCTAAATAGGGCAAAATTAAATGCATTTTAAGTTTACCTAAACACCATTTTAATCGAAAAATACCCCTCGATGCATTGTGCAAACTTTTCTACCAGAAATCTTGCTCCCATGTATCAAGTGTAGCCTATTTTCTAAAAGAAAATTTTATCTCCGTGGTTTAGGAAGGTAATTTTTGTGATTTTTTAATCGGTTTTTATAAAAACTAAGAAAAACCGGAATAAAATGTCGGAAAAACAGAAAATGTACGAAATATAGGTATTAGTAAAAAAATATGGTTTCTTTTTCTGTGTACAACTTTTCTACCAGCAATTTCGCACCGGTATACAATGATAGCACTTTTTCTGAAAGTAAATCTGACTGAAAAGGTACTTTAGGTTATTTTTTGATTTGGCCAAGAGTTTTCTTAGCAATAGTGATAATCCAAGAAAAACATAGAAAAATCGAGACAATATTAAACAAATATTATTAAAGAAAATATATAATGTTTATTTAATTATTTTACCAAATACGACTTATATATTGTTGACAAAGCATCACTATCAACTGAACTGCGCTCAGAATAGTTTTTTCGTTAATAGTGGTTTATCGTTGCTTACAGATATACATTAAATTATCTATAACAGTGGCTGCACCCATTTCTATCATCCTAGGACGTTTTTTTTTCTTACTTCACCATAAGCAGAATAATAATAATTTGTTTCGAATATCCGAGATCAATAATTTTAAACTTGAATTTAATTATATTTTCTAAATTTGATAACATAATGTAACAAATATTAATTACTAGTTCATCTTTATTTTTTTTAATAACTACATTAATATTTATAATACCAAAAAAAAATTTATTTTGTTTTTATTTTATTTTAAATTTAAGAAAATTCACATAATTTATGTGATTTATTAATTTGTTATTACACTTAACTAACTTTTATTAAAGTTAAGAATGTACAATTTTATCACTATTATAATAAACTTTGAAAAAAAATAAAAATGTTTTAGTCATTATAAATTTGTATACGTTTTTTATATGTGAGGTATTATACAAAACGTTTTGTACGCGTATATTATTACTAACCCTGTTATTTAGTTATTACGTAGTTTGTATGCCTATAAGAAGTATACATATATACGAAGGATACAGAAAATTCCATTAAAAATGACAGTTAGATCCACACACATTTATACTAGTATTATGAGTTTATAATTGATGAAATTAAAATAGTATCTTGTATGCAAATACAATTAATATAGCTCAGAATTCAATGTTTTGAATTAATAAAATATCAAGATCTTATAAAGTTTAATTTAGGATATATGTGTGGAAGTATCTATGTATAAGTATTTGTTATTGGTATTTTATATAATATTAACTACAATTTACAAATGTATAAATTGATCTATACATTATTATACTTTTCAAATACACAGACATACCTACAATTTTTCTTTCGTTGTAGATTTCCAAAAGAAATTATATTTAATGTAATAATGCCTATGATTTATAAGGATAAGGACCAATTATTCATCCATACCAATGATCAAGGCTGACCTATAGAAATGGTATTCTTCTAAAAAAATAATTTCTTCAGCGATCAACTCTTTTGATTTTGATTTCAATATATTATTTAGTAAAGTTGAAATAAAGTTTTAAATGCAGGGCTGAATAAATAAAACGAAACGGATAATAACATTCTCGTGTACGATCGATTTTTGCCGTTTAATAATATTACACAAGATTGGATTTTAAAAAATGTTATAAAGTTCATTTAAAATCACGATCAAAGTATAAGAAAATCGTTTATTTACATATTGTTATTATTATCGTTCGTATACGTTGTCCAATTCGTATGTCTTTATTTGTTTGCAAGGATAACTTAATGTCGAGTGACAAATACAATTTAATAAAACACTTTTATTGTAATATAATATGCTAAAATTGGAAGTAATAAAATAAAATATAAACTACAGTTCTTTTACACCCTATAAAATCGAACTGAGTAGTAATCAAAACTCAATTAAGCGCCTAGATGATTTGGCCAAATGTATAAAATACAATAGTAACCGTTTGATATAATATATCTTAGTTGAACAAAGCTTTAAAGTATGTTAACTGTTTAGTGAGCATAATTTATTATATTATATCTGATTTAATATATTATTTATAGTATTTTTAACACACTCATTTTGGCGTAGAATCGAAAATAATGTGAAACTTCAAAAAAACCTAACCTAATCCAATCTAAAACATTTAAAAATACAGTACGCTATAATGTTCGAGATCCTGAGTAAGTTGAGAATTATTATTAAAATTGTATCCGATGTTTGAGTTTTGATTTCAACACAAGTCTACACCTAGTATCTCAACTCTATAGAATTTGATAACATAACGTAAGACTTTTATTAATGCTCAAAAAACTTGAATTACCAAAATTAGGGGTGTCTTCAGACCTTAGTTATGGGAGAGAGGAGTCAAAATAATTAAATTTAATATTAATGATTGATAAGAAAAAAAATTATTTCGAATAATATATTGATAATAGCTATTATTGGATCAATGACTATGTAAATCCCTTTCTCTCACCTCCATCATCCTCCCCATAAGAACGTCCCTTACATAATTTTTATTTGATGAATAAAATTGTTAGACTAAATAGAAATGTTTGAATATTTAACAGGAGATTAAATATAAATTATACTTAATGGAAAAAAAAATAATTTTAATGTAGTAGAGCTTTATAATCAAAATGTTGACAAAAATCGTAACTTTATATAGTTTTTCAAAATATGTATAACCGAATTTCGCTACGAATCATTTTTTGTTAGCAATGGTTTATCGTTTTTTACAGGTATAAATTAAAGAACTTTTAGATTCTAAGTGGAATGAAGAAGCTTATAAAGTTTTAATAAGTTATAAGTTTTATAAAGATATAAATTTATTTTTTTTATCTGTGCGTAACTTTTTTACCAGAAATCTAGCTCCGATAAGTGGAAGGAAATCGGTGTGGAGAGTTACTTTAAAGAGGTCATTTTTCGATTTTCCAAGCACTTTTCTCAACAAATGTGAAAAATCGAAAAAAACTGAGGAAAAACGGGAAAATGTACGAAATGTAGGTATTAGTTGAAAAATATTTTGAACTTTTTTTTTCCTGTGAACAACTTTCTACCATCAATTTTGCACCAATTTACAATAATAGCACTTTTTCTTTAAGGAGATATGCCTGGGAAGGTGCTTTAGAATTTGAAATGTCATTTTCGATTTTCCTAGGAGTTTTCTCAACAAATGTGAATTCTTCTCATAATCGTTTCTTCGTTATCAATGGTTTATCATTGCTTATAGATGTACATTAAATTACCTATAACAGTGGCTGCACCCATCCCCATTATCCTAGGACGTCTTTTTTTTGTATTTTACCTTCCTGATTTCTCATCTACAACACTGACACACAAGTCCCCAGAATTAGTTATTTTCTATTATTATTATTTTTTATTTTTGAAAATTCATGTATCATACAAAATAATGCTACTATCCAAATTAATCACACTTATTATTTATATTATTTCATTACTCGCATTTGATGTTTCTATCAATCTAACGGGCCATAGTAGAAAAAGGTGTATAGAATTTGATTTTTTATGGGTTAATCTGTTCTGGCGCCATGCTTCTCATTTAATAATACTTCTCATGTTTATTGTGGCACTAAAAACAATAAGTTTATACTACGATTACGACTTGAATACTATTGAAAGCCTACGAGATAGGTATATATTATGAAAACATATTTTTACTATTATATTTTATATTGACAGACGGAAAATGCACATTCGACATCCTCTTAAAAAATAATGATAAAAAAACATGTCAAATACAAATTAATATAAGTATAGCATACTGTTTTTTTTTAACTCCTATTAAAAACGAATAAAATAACAAAAAAAAAAAAAAACAATAATAATAAGAACATCTCGTTCAGGATTAAGAAACATATACTCGTACAATACGGAGTGATCATTAAATTTGATCAAAAAAAATGACAGTGGAATATATGACATTTATATAAAAATAAGTAATATTATATAATATTATATTAATTAATACGAAACTATTTGATTTTATAGGATCTAGTAATATAATCTCTGCGGTACATGTTCGAATGAAATGTTTTCGACAAAAAGTAAACATATCGATTAAAAAAAAAAAGTTTTACAAACAATATAAATTCAATAGGGATTATAAAGAATATTATTAGTACAACAATGTAGCGATGTCAATATAATAATGCCTAATTAATTATTTTATTATAATATGGCATATATATTGTTGACAAAGCATCACTATCAACTGAACTGTGCTCGGGAACCGTTATTTCGTGAGCAATGGTTTATTGTTGATTATAGATACAAATTAATTTTTCTTCTATATCCTACCTTCCCAACTTCTCATCAACAACATTGGCTACATCCATCGCGCGAAATATGACCGTCCTTTTTTTCATTTTTTGTATCCAATTATAGTGTCACACATTTATCAATGTGATTCACGCTTATAATTTCGAATTTATTATTGTAATTGCTTTTAAATTATAATTTATGATTTTTTAGCTTTAATAAGTAAACACATAACTCGTACAAACTAAAATTCTAAATTTATTCTATATTTATCTTACTTAACGTTAAATATAGAAGGCAATCGAAAATGAATAATACAAATTACAATATTCACTTAACAGTTACCTGTGTAAAGCATGTTAAATACTAAAGTATTGGTATATTTATAATATTATTTTCAATGTCGTAATAAATCATAGCCACGGAATTATAAAAATAGATTCGTTATTACTATTAATTATGTCCTAATTAATATTCATTGCGCTTTTGATATAAGGTAACATGGTTTCACCCGTTGGTCTTATAATTATTTCGGTGATCTGTGAAGGAAAAATAAAATTAATATTGTTCGAAAAACAAACGTGGCCATGACAGCAGCTCTATTTTATCTAATAACAAACAATAATATAATAATATCCATACAAATGGTATTACTATCAATACGATTAAAAATTCTCTCTAAAATAGTTTCACTAATAATGTGAAAAATTGACAATTCGTATAACGAAATAGGTATAACTACTTACGTTAACCGATTGCGGTACTGCTAAAGCGTATAAAATCGCATCCGCTATGTTTGACGGTTCCAATTTCAGCAAATCGTAAAATTCCTTAACCATTTCCGTATTTACTAGTCCTGGACTAATACTCTAAAAGCGGAATAAATGATTTATTAGAACGCAGATTTATAAAATGTTTACATGTTTACTTCAAAATATTGTAACATCAGCTTATTATGGCATGTACAGTCGTATGAATTTTTACGAGAAATAATATCATGAATTGTGGGATGATGTTATTATCACTTCAAAAGTAACAAAAAAAAAAAAAAAAATACTTAAATAAATTACCGTTACTCTAATCGGTAACTCTTGCAGGGCCAACTGTTCTCGTAAACTCTCAGTGATCGAAACGCTACTTAACTTGGTCGCACCGTAGATGATAAAGTTTGGCATCAACGTAGGCGGATAGTGACCGACATCACTAAAAATACATAATTTAAAAAAGATCATTTATCTATAAGAATTGACGATATAACAGAAATAATCGTATATAGTCTAGGGTATCGAACTCGGGGTACAGGTCGCGGTTGACCGTTTGAACAATTTTTTTGGTGGTGGTTCGGTGGGTGACGCCAGCGGTGAGAAATATACCTAGTATGAGTAGTATTTGTATCTAATAATAATAATAATAATCTAACTATAAATAGTATTATTAACTATGTAATTTAATATACGTTGGTATATATTTTATGTTAAATAATAATATAATGATCGGGCTTATTAGCTCGAGTATTTTTAAACTATTTCGGTGCCACAGATTTAACCTAACCTATTGATGTTCACGATGTGACCGTTGATTTTCAATTCTTTCATGATTTTCACTGTTTCTTTACTGCATATACACGACGCCAATACGTTAGTGTCGAACATTAATTTCCAATCGCCCGGGTTCCCTGTAAATTAATTATTTTGATAAATATGTATAATTACGAATTTGAGATTCAAATTAAAACGGTATTCCAGCGATGTCAAGTGTATCGTGTCGTGTGCTATTTGGTACATTTTTATTGGCCGTTGTAATCTTGACAACGCATTTAGTAATCAATACTCTGGAAAATTTTCAGAGTTAAGCTAAACTCATTATTCGACGGTTGGATTACAATAATGGTTAGTATATTTTTTGCTGCTATCGGTATAGTACCAAGTGATGCATTTAAGTGGTTACACTCATTATCTCGGAACGTATTAACTTTTTCTAGAATTTGTTTTCTAGAACATTTAAGAAACAAGCTACTCTACAATTGTATATTTGTGTTATTTTTGTCATCCTTTTTTTTGGGGGCAAAACCCCCACCTACTTTTGGCTAACAAATGGCTACATATAATAAAAAGTCCATACATAGATGGAGTATTAGTTAAAATAAATTATAGTATTGACATTTTTGATTTCTGTCTAGTCGTTGACGAGATATTCCGCTTTTAAGATTGGGTTGGAAGAGAGTAATAGTGCATTATAAACAAGCTGTGCGCGCTGGTTTTAGTAAAAAATGAATACCTTCTTAGATAATGAGTGTACCGATTTAAATGGATCACCTGGTATATATTTCATATGTAAACACAACATGACACACGCATATGACGTCGCCGGAATACTTCTTTAAATCACAAAATTTCAATTAATTAGTTCAATGTTTCCATTTCCTTCGATAAAATCGTAGAGTGGGATGGATAATTTTCTGTCAGTGTAGAAGGGATTAAACGATCCGTCGAATAACCGAAAAAAATATTTTTGCTTTCAACTAGAATTAAAAAGTGTTAAATTAAACGTGTTTAAAATGTGTACTGGAAATCCTAAAATATATAAAATGATAATAAAATAATTTTTTTTGTGAATGCGGAGTAAATTTTTATTTCTATTTTCAGAAATAATGGTAACACATAAAAAATGAAATATGGTTTCTGGTTGAAAATGGACTTTGACAAAATTTAAAATAAATAAATCGCTAACGTCACCGTAAATACGTCTTTTTTCGTAGCCTTTTTTTTTCGGTTTTTCCTAAATATTATGAAAACCGCTTGGAAAATCAAAAAAGCGCCACCGTAATAAACCAACTAAAATTTTGTAATTCATCAATAAAGTGTCTTTTCATTTTTTAGTTAGAGCGAGATTTCTAGTATAAAAGTTGCTCACAGCGTTAAAAAAAAAAAAATAAAAAAATACATCAATCAAAATCTAAAATAATTATAGGTATTAATTTCTATGAACATTCACAAATCAATACAAACCCTCTACTACATCGCTATCTTTATAAACTCCAGCGTTGTTGACAAGTACATCGACTGATTTTAATGTACTCTTCACCCATTTGAAAGCTTTCACGATGTTTTCTTCGGAACACAAGTCGACCTTTACGAAATGAAATTTGCCTCGTTTTCCATTCAATTCTTTCTGCAACGCCTTAATAAAAAAAATGATCACTTTTTTTATTCTTCTTTATATTATTTTGATTACAATTTTGAGTTTTCAAAAATATATATATAAAAAAAAATTCCATCTGATGGGAAACATATTAGGTAGGTACTTGAAGCTTTTCTAATCTCCTAGCGAACCCGACGACGACCATTCCTCTGTCCACCAATTGTCTGCACGTTTCAGCCCCGATTCCAGACGAAGCTCCGGTGACCACGGCTACTTTTCCAATCCATTTTTCCATTTCGCAGAATTAGATATAGGTAATATATATTATATTACAGTTGAAATTTTCTCTTAACAACGGACTCACAACAACAGGGCGTGACGAGTGTCTGTTTCATTTTTTTTTTTCGGTTGTCTTTTATTACATCGACCGGTATTTGTAGAGTTTATCTGGATTAACATGGGAATGGTGTAGTGGTAAATCAGCGCGGTTTCCAAACTTTTCTCAAATATTTTTTCTCTAAAAATCACTATTTATTCCATATAATACGTATAGTTACACTAAACCTATACATTTGACCCATATATTGAATAATTTTCTTGTAGAAAATTCAAGTTAATATTATGTTTTTATGTAGGGAGACTTTTTAAGTAAGTTTATAAAATAAATTTTGAAAACCACTGGTATAATATGAATAGCACTTTTAAATTCAGAGCGTATCTATTGGTTTTACTAAATGTGTGTGTCTTTTTTTTATGATAAGTATAAGTATAGTTGTAATTGTTAAATTCCGATGACATCATCTGTGTACCTGCAGGTATTATATTTTGGTGACCTTTATTTTCGGGGCTAAAACCATTATATACTTTTAATTTTGCACCACTATATATTCTTACCGACCCATACTTAAAAGTGGAATATCTCGTCGATGAACTGATGGAAATCAAAAATTTCAACAACAGTATTTATTTTAATTAATACTATCCATATTTTTATAGAATTTTTATTATAGGTGGCCGTTTGAAAATTAAAAGTAGGCGGTAGTTTTACCTCTAAACATAAGGATGACAAAAAATAACATAAACCACCTAAAATGTTAGTGTTGCTTGTATCTTAAATGTTCAATAAAGCAAATTCTGAAAAAAGTTAATACTTTTGAGATAATGAGTGTCTCACGCTAGATTGATCACTCTGTATACTAAATTATACAATATATTGTATAAATAACATTCAATTTCTCTTTATGATGGTCCTCATTGTTCATTAAACGTCGGTTTTTCAAGTTTTAGATGTCCACTATATGTATGTAACGATTTTCCAATCTGATATTATACCAGAATAACCAAGCAGTTACCTAAGTAATATTTTTAATTCAAATTTATTATTTTAAATTTTAATACCAAAGAAAAAAAAACTGTAATTAATTTTCGAAATTATTATTAGGTAAAATACCTTACATATTATATTCATTAAATAGTATGAAATATCAACGCCACACTCAACAAAGAAAACTCCGTATTAGCCTAATACTCATAATTTCACTATTCATCAGGATATATTATATGGATAGAAATCTGTGTTTTTTAAAATCGTGATTAGCGATCCGATTAATAATCAAATTTCCTATTGGATTGACTGGTCGTCTATCTATACTAGATAATTCAAATACTATATAGACATTATAGTATAGATTCTATACTGACGGAGTTAGAGGTGTAGTAATAATTTTGTTCTGGGAAGATGGAGGGAGAGGTAAGCAATATCATAGATTAACTTTATGTGGATCTCCTTAAATAAGATTCCAAAATAATTTTTTTTTTAAATTTACTTCTTTCAAACTAATATTTTTATAAATTATAAACTATAACTACTTTTGATTGTATATTAATATTATATCCATATTGACTTCTATTAGTTCTACCTATATTGTTTTGTATAAATAAATTCTGTTTTTATGAACTCAACATCACCACTACAATTAAATGCAAATTATATTGTAAATGATGTGTAACCAACGTTGGGTTGTAATTTTCTTTTCTTATACGTTTTATTTGATTAAAAATAATAAATAAATAAAAATATAAATTTAAGTTTTCATAGCGCCTAAAACTATACATGTTTATGTTTTAATATCCGGGGACAATTGATCTGTAACATTTGATTCGGTTTAAAAAAAACTTGTGCCAAAAATATCCGGTTAAAAAATGAGTGCATTAACAGAGTTAAAGTAGAGATGTATTTAGGGGGTAATAAGCTTCCAAAAAAAAAAAAAAATGTTATAGTTACTCATTAAAAAATTGTTTTGAACCCCAGACATAAGACACATAAATGTTGATATTCTCTAACCGTTGTGGATTTATTGAAGGAGAGTTTAGTAGCGGGTATTTACTATAAAAATGCTAAATGGCTAAAGGAATAAAAAAAAAACTTACCCAAAAATGGAAGAAGAAAGCAAATTAGGCGTTTTATCATTAAAAATTATTGAGAGTTATCTGCTGTAATAACTTTGTATAACCATCGCGCGCAATCATTCAATATTTTACTGTGAATTAATCTTTATTAGTGATTTTATATTATAAGTATAATATAGAATAATGCATAATATTATTATTTTAAAATAATTTACCGTTATGCGACAACTGCACCTGATGATCAATATTATAGTGTATCTCATCACCGAAACAAATACGTATATTAAGTAAGTACCTATTTGTAATTTTTTTTTCAAACGGTAAGTATTTTATAGTAATGTATATTGTATTATCATTATTAAAAAAATTATGTTCGATACGAAATCCGGTTGTTATTTATTATGAAACGTGTCGAATTTTAATATTAGGTAATATTTCTTTTAACTGCCGCCGCCATTAAATGATTACAGTAATTTTTTTTATCGTGATTTTATTATTAATCGTTTATGAAATAACAGTGGATCCGCTAGAGGACGAGGTTTTCTTTTAAAACGTACATTATTGTTTATTTTAACAATATGTAAAAAAAAGGAAGGTTAGATAATGAGGACGGGTGCCACCACTGGTGTAGGTGGAAAGTTGGGAAGATAGAAATATCATGGGCAAGAGTAATCCGGAAAGATATTAAAGAATCTTTTTTCTTAAATATATGTATATGGTTTTTATTTTGTCCATTTAATTCAAAATATGTATCAAAAAGTTAGTTAGTTTTTTTTTTTGTTTTAGATTCTGAGTTGATCGAAGAAGCTTATGGTTTTACAAAGATGTTTTTTTTCCTGTGGACAACTTTTCTATCAGAGATATTGCTTCGATTTTTAAGTGTAGCGCCTTTTCTGAAAAGAAATCGGTATGAGGAGGTACTTTAAATAGGTCATTTTTCAATTTTCTTAAGATTTTTCTCAAAAAATGTAAAAAACCAGGAAAAACGTAGGAAAATCGGTACATTAAACAAATATTACTAAAGAAAATATATAATGCCTATTTAATTATTTTACTATAATATCACATACATATTGTTGACAAAGCATTACTATAAACTATACTTGCACAGAATCGTTTTTTCGTTAGCAATAGTTTATCGTTGCTTACATATATACAATAAATTCTATTCTGTACCTTACCTTCCCAACTCCCTACCTACAACAGTGGCTGCACCCGTCTCCATTATTTTCGGACAGCTTTTGTTATTTTGTATGCATGATACAGTTATCTATTATTATCCGCGTAACCTTGGTGTATGATATTAAAAATTAATGTTGCCTTATCTCAAGTACTTCTTAGGTAGGTGTATTATTTTATAGAGTTACACATGCTTTCAGGTATACGGTTTTCTTTTAAATAAGTTATTTATTTAATTAAAATCATGGACTTAATGCCCAATTACAAAGAATATATATGACAGACTGTGTATTCACAGTGTTTTATGCCCATACGCTTCTTATATATTTATATACGGGAGAGCCCATAGTAGATTAATAGAACAACTCCACGTGTGGACCCGGAACTGTACCTGGACGAATAGGTATCTGGCGTGACAAGAGTTAACTGATATCCAGAGCCACAGCCCAGGCCTAAAATGTATTATTAACCATGAAATGATCTTTAATCACACATTTTGTATGATTTAGTTGTACATTTTTTACATTTCCCACACACCAATCGATGAATAAAAAGTCAATATAAATACTTCCAGGATGTATAAAAATGTAGATATTATTTAGAAATAATAATATAGATAGCCTTGACTATGAACGACGGGTTTCGAGGGTCTCTCCAAGCATATACAAAAACGCTGTCTGAAACATCGTCTAATTAGACTAATCCACCACGATTGAATGCGAGCAACTTTGCGTCACTCTGTTTTATGAATATTTGGACTTGTGTTTTAATTGTGAAATATATTATTGAACTTAGAGAAATTTTGATGTTTTAATTTAATTGGACTTAGAATATTTGTGAATAATAATAATATTGGACTTGCATTAATTTTGTGTGGAAATATAAATTATTTTTATAATTCAACTTAGAGTTTAAAATTATTTCAAAGTTTTCCTCTAAATCATCATCCTTACGTTGCGCGCGTTACAACAGAAAAAAAAGAAAAGAAATACAAATGAAAACCATATTGTGATATATATATATATTATTATATAGGTAAGCGAAAAACCCTACTTTATTGATAGGTACTATATTTTTGATAATATTTATCAATAATTAATAATAATAGATATAGTACGTTACTATTATAGATGTATTAGTTAATCTACCAGAAAAAATAGTAAGATAAGTACTCTTTCAGAGAACATAATTTTCTCTAGCTAAATTTTCTCAAAAAAATAACTCCTTACTAATTTTAGTGTATTTAAGCGCATCAACTCAGTTGTTTATTAACGTAACGTGCTTAGGTTGGATCATCAATAGAATGTATAGGTGTCTCCCTTTAAGAAATAATTAATCCTCTTCTGATATTTAGATCAAGTATATCTTGGTGGAATTTTGTGATAAGCATAAGATGGTGGTTTTAACTCTGAACGATTTGACTTAGATCCCAGTGTAAGTCCCCTCCATAGTTTGATACCCTAGAATTTGTCAAATCGCAACCAAACTTTATATCACCTCTATATAACTTTTAGACTACTTCAATAGTAAATAGTAACATTTTACAGGAATGGTTAATTATCACGAAAGTAAATTTTCACGGTTATACCGAGTCTGAGCATGTCTATCCACCCCTGAAAACAACCACAATGTCATGGACCTTCTCTAAATTTGTATTCGTTTATTTTGTTTATACTGTGTATGTGAAACAACATCATCTATCAGCTAGTAGATTTTTTTTTAATCCCGGAAGGTCAAACGTTCTTGTTCGCACATTACAGTGTGCGTATTTTTGGATTTTGGATTGTTATAACCCGCGAATTTGAGGTAAAGTACATTTATGCTTTTCGAATTTTTACAGTCCGTAATATTCTGGACAGAATATTAATTTTTCCGGCTGATTACAGTCTGGACATTTAATTTACAGTGTTTCATTTTCCGGGTTTTTAGAGTTTTTCTTATTATTTTTCGGATAATTCTGGTTTACCCTCCATTTGATGCTCAGTGACACAACCAGGACTATGGATAACCGATGTTTGAAACTTATTTTACAAATTCTACGTAACACATAGTATAATTGAATCATTTGTATTGCAATTTCCTTGTAATTTTAAATACCTTCAGTACGTCGTGCACGTAACCTATTTAATATTTAGTAATTGGCTAATTCCAAAACTTGTCCAGATATTTGTTGAAATTCCTACTGCCCTTCTCTTCGAAAATAAATCCTGGCTCTACCACTATGTGTGATTTTAATCTGATCGTCCTCTTAGTTCATCCAAATCTTTCTTAGTCTTCCAAAGGATCTTTTCCATGTCAGATTCCTTTTCAGCACTGTACAAAGTAATACGTTTTTAGTTTTCCAGATGCGCTCTACCCATTTCAATTTCTTATATTACTGATGTAATTATACAAAACGTACTATTTTGAGTGGATAATAGTACGTAGATGAAGAAATGATAGTTGAATAGCAGGAAATAGGGAAATATGGAGAGCAGACTCGACGTATGTATGTAATAATGAAGGCGAAGTAGAAGAAGAATATTTTTTTAAGTGATTCCATCAGTGCAGTCTAGGAAGAATCCGCTGCCGAGTTGTATTGAATAATAACGATTAGATAAGTCGTTGCTAAACGTATGAGCTGTAAAATTTAAAAAATCATCATCAATAATTCAAACGTATTGATATTAATATTATGTATAATTTAGATTAATTATACGAGAATAATTCTTATTATATTTACCGCGTGAAAGAACGATAAATTTACAGAAAAAAAACCGTACGCCGAAACTTTGACTTCTCTGTTCACGATTTGATATGTAAATGCGTTGATCTGAAAAAACATTTAACGTTTACAAAAGATCAATGTTTTTTTAATAAATTACTTCAAAAATATACTTAATGATAAATATATGTACATTATATTTTTAAATCACGAATTATAAGTTTGGAAAAACAAAAAATGTTTTTAACGTTATAATAGATATTCAAAAATATAACAATAAAATACATATTATAAAATATTTAATAAATATTTTTTAGATTCTGAGTGGAGCGAAGAAGCTTATGGTTTTACAAAGATGTTTTTTTTATCTGCGTAACTTTTCTTGCTCAGATTTCTAATTTTAGCACCTATTCTGAAAGGGTAGCAGGGTGGTACTTTGAAGAAGTCATTTTTAGATTTTCTCAGGAGTTTTATTATCAAATTAGAAAAACCGAAAAGAAACGGAGGAAAAACTGGGAAAACTTAACTTTTGAGTTAGTCATAAAATTACTGTGGTTTTTCATATTTAATTGAAACCATATAATATAATATATATATATATATATGTAATATATACAAAACATATAATATGTACGAGTTAGCTTCTTAAAAAAAAAAAAAAAGGGAATACAGTGCATTTTATTGGAGTGAAATTGTAGGACTTATAAAATAAAATAACAATATTTTTTAATAACTACTTAGTTTCCCTAAGTGGAAAATCCTATTATGTATTTATTTTAAATTGCATATTGTAATATTATTCTGTTCGATAATATACAAATATCACATTATTCTACACTAGATTAGCATGATAGAGAAAGAATCGTTATCTTTGAAACTATTAACTTTTTCAGAAATATGTTTTTTTTTAAATTTAAGAAACGAGCAACAATAAAATGTTACATTTAAGAATTTATAATTAATAATATGCATATTATAAAATCAATAATTTGATAATAGTAAATTTTCGTCAACCTTATTTTAGTGGGTGAAACGACACCTATAATTATTTTTCAAATTGCAACTTGTATTAAATTGTATATTGATAACTCTTTGTTATAATGAAAATAATGGCTACATATCTGTATGATAATAATTTTTTTAGTGGATGTTTGAAGATGTATAAGTAAGGTACTTGTAACTTATTTATTTTATATTTTTAGGTTATTTATTGTAGTATTATAAACTAGATTGTTTAGAAGAAAGCATGAAATAATTATCTACATTTTAAAATGTATAACATAATAAATAATAAATAAGGTTAAAATATACTTTCCTAGGCATTTGTATTTTTATCATTATTTACCTATATATAAGTTATATATATATAACCTACCTATTATTCATAGAACACCACTGAAAATTATGAATCACTAATGACCTATTCGGAATTCCACGTGTAGCAGAAAGGAAATTGGCGTGAGGACGTACCTTAGGGAGGTCATCTAGGAGGTTTATTTTCCCAGCAAATGTGAAAAACCGGGAAAAACAAAGGAAAACTGGGAAAATTGGTACAACATTAAACAAATAAACAAATATTATTAAAGAAAATATATAAAGCCTATTTAATTGTTTTACTGTAAAATGACATATATTGTTCACAAAGCATCACTATCAACTAAACTCCGCTCAAAATCGTTTTTTCGTTAGCAATGATTTATCGTTTCTTACAGATATACATTAAATTCTATTCTGTATCCTACCTTTCCAACTTCAAGGTAATATTAGATAACACTAAAAAATAATATTATCCCTACACTAATATTTAATATCCTAATATAGTACCTATTTAATATCAATATCATACATATCATATTTTTATTTTGTATTATACGTACTTACCAACACGATAGTTGAAATATCCAAATTATTGTGTTTTAATAGGTTTCTTAGTAATATCAATACTGAATTTTCAGCCTGTTAAAAAAAAATTGTTAAAAGCCTAATTTGATTAAATTGTAAGAAATTATACAGCGGATGTACGTGAAAAATGTGTTTACAGCCACGCAATTGTAAAAAGTGAGTTATTTATATAAAAAAAAACAAAAACAATCATTATTTTTCGTGTAGAAATCTAGCCAATTTGTCCAATATTGAATGCGTTTTAGAATAAGTCATCAAGATTTTTTTTAAATTTTTCATGCGTTTTTATTTATATCGCATACATTAATATAAACTTAAACTATAATGCACCTTTCAAATGTACCGTCTAAAAAAATTAAATTAACTAATTGACTAACCCATATTTTAACATGTTTCCTGAGTCTAATGTTAATTAAGTTAAATTGCTAAAAAACTGTGAAGTCAATGGGTATAATGTTGGGTTTACTAAATTTTTATTTTTTAAATTAACAGAAAAACATTAAGTCATTCAATTTGAACATTTGAACATTAAGTCATTAAAGTACACAATATTATCATAGTGAAATAAATAAACCCCTTGCTGCGCACGAATCTAAAATTATGTTTAATATATTTTTCTCGGTGCTGTATTTAAATTATGATTACATTGAACAGTTCTGGAACGTTGACCAAACATTTTTTTCACGCGTACCCACGATATGGTTTAATATAATATTGTTATCAGCTATAGTGGTAGAGTCTGTACGAATAACGTATATTATAACTTGACAAATGCATGAATTGAAATAATTTGTATTCCCCATGAAATTCGAGTTAGATATAATATTATTAAGAAAATAATATACAACGTGTCCACATCAATCGTAAAACGCTTACCACTTGTTTGATTTTCTCAGCGCGGTACGATATGAACACGATCCGGAACGAAACGCACGCTAACTGACACGCTAGCGCCACATTCCAGCAGAACGTGGCGACGGTGTCTTCGACAGCATTTCCAGGGCCATCCGTGAATGCGGCGTACATTGACATGATAGTCACATACGCGTACACGATGAAGAACAATATGTTGGCGGTCAAGTTGATAGCCAAGTCCAGCCCGTAGCACTCGGACAGACGGTCGACCAACCGGCAACCACGCCAGTAGTCACGCCACACGACCTCCAGCCGCCAGTGCATTAACAGGCACCGTTTGGACGTCCGACCACCATCAACGCCACCGTCACTGTTGGACGCCAATCGGCGCAACCGATCGATGACGTCATAATATGTGTTTTCGGCGACCGAGCATATACAAACGATCGAACACTCGATGGTCACTGGTACGACGGTCGCCGGCATCACGGACGACAGCAATACGTCAGTGACCGAGAAATGTCCGGGCCGAGCTGCCACGATGGCCACAGATCTGGCCACAACGATTGTGGCTACCGTAGCTGCGTACACGCCGCTCATGCTCAAGTGTGACCATGTTTTACTGGTGACTGCCTCGTTTCCGCACCCGCGGCCACGGCCTAGCACGTAGTGCACTTGGTTTAATAAGCTCGCGGTGCTTGACTGTCGATGTACGGTGGCCACCGTGACGGACACCATGGCCTGTATCACGCCTGCCGCGGTCAAGATCCACTCGATAGCTGACGAACACTCGACCGAGCTATTACCGTCACCGCACGGCCAACCACCAACCAGCGTTACGCACCTCTGCAGCGCGCAGTACAACAGCACCAACACCAACATGTTGTATGCCAAGTACCGCCTGTCGGACGAAAAAACGCCCGAAACGCGTCTGCAGCTGTCACCTGCCACTCAAAAACATGGATACGTATTTATAAAAGATGGGCGGATACAAAAATGAACGAATTTCGCTTAAACGTACTTTGATAAACTTAAATTCAAAACCGTTTTTAACCTAAAAATAAATATATAAAAAAATTATAGCTGATGACTAGATTACTGATAAATTTGTTTTACAGACGCATACACACATAAAATAATAATAACAAAAACGAGTTGAGACTGCTGATAGGTGCGTCAACTTTGTAGGAAAGAAGTTGGGAAGGTATCTGTTAATAACGATGAACCATTGCCATTTAAAAACGATTCTGAGCAAAGTTCGTTTATAAAATATTTGAAAGACTATAATATTTAAGATTTTAATCTAAATTTGATTATAAAACCATTATAAAAAAAAAAAACTACTATGTGTATAAAACACTCAATTATTTTTTTTAGACCACTAAGTACATCTGTAATGAACTGCCTGTTAAATTGTCAAGTATTTCTGTTAGATTAAACACTGATATCTACATAGTACTTCCCAACTAAAAACTACGTAAAAAAACTCGCAAACATAAAATAATAGTATAATGTCTATAAATTGCTCAAATATTTTTAAAGCTCAAATGTTTTAAAAATTCTACCGTATCTAGAAAAAGTAAAACAAAAAATTAAAAATACTATAAAAAAGTCATCTTGTCATTTTTCGATTGGAGCAATATTTTTCTATTTGAAAAGTTGTTTACGGACAAAAAAAAATACACATCATATTATATAACCAATAGAGCAATCGCTCCTTTTCCAAATCTAAAAAGTACAGAATCTTAAACATTTCGCATATACCTAAGAAAATCCGGAAAATTTAAATGATATTATTTACGATAAAATTAAATGGAATATAGTAAATTTGAAAAAAAAAAAAAACAAATAAAATCTTAATTAAAAACTTACCGTTTTCGGAACAAAACACATTATTATTATTGTGGACGGCTGCTACTTCTCTCACTAACAACAGCCCGAATATTTGAGCCATTGCATAAAATGGTCCTAAAGTTTTAAATCCAATCCTTTTGATACTCATCGCAAATGTTATCAAATTATTATTATCGCGACGAAAACTTTGACTTTAAGAGTACTACAGCGATTTTGTTGTCAAATATTTATTAAAATGTTTTTATTAGTTTTTTAGTTCGCTACTATATACTTGGCCAACAAAATATAACAAACAATTACACGTCATAATAGCAAAAGATATAAATATTATATCATTTCAATGATATACCTTAAAAATAATGACATAGCACTACGGGTAAACATGACAATGCATAATTTAATAAGGCAGTTCTAGCATATATTTTTTGTCCCGTAATTGAAAAAGAAAAAGCATTAATATAATTGAATATTAGTATTTGTGTTATACCTACTTAGGTAGAAACAATACAAATATTATACACAGAATGATTTTTGTTACCTAACGTGGAACACTCATTATCTTAGGTTTTGCACTATTCTGTAAGAGTAGAGATAGGCACTATTTTTGATTTATGCAAGTAACTTAGCTACAATTAAATTTTGTATTCTGTGATAAATTTCCGAAAAACATATTTGTGAATTGCGATATTTAAATCTGATAAGCTGGATTATTTCCCTCTCCTGAACTTTCGGAAAATACTTTAATCATTTGAAGTGATTGTAAAAAAATAGAAGAATTGATGGACATTTTCAAAAATATTGCGAATAAAAAACAGTCACCAGGCGCGTAGCCAGGATTTTTTTTTTAGGAAGGAAGTCCAAATATAAAATTTATCACTAAATATCAATAATCTGATTTTTTAGTGATATGATTAAATTTCGGAAGGGTCCAGACCTCAAGAATCTCAAGAAACTATGTGCTGGAATGACACGTCACAGCTTTTTAAGTCATTAAAATACTGAATGCGAGACAAATTTAAATAATAATAGGAAATACCTATTCATTTAAGTACATAATTTGAAAGTATCGAGTATCTTGTACAGTAATAGTTGTAATAGCAACTAATATTTAAGGATCTTGCCCATCCCTGCTGGCTGTAACTAGGTATATAATTTCGTAAAATATCAACAACACCGCGATTGTTGGACAATTTATTAATAATATACAAATTCAATAATCTTTTTTTAAAATATATCTACGATTTTATTTTGGTCATATTTGATCTTATACAGAGTAATTTTTTTTTTATCATGAACCAGAAATTATCTAGGAGGATTTTAAGTGAATTTGATTTCTGAATTTTTTAATCATTTAAAAAGCTTTATATTAAAATAATATTTAATTTTTTAACCCTAGATACTCCATATATCTTAAATAAATACATACTTTTGTTTTTTAAATAAGAACCTTACCCCCCCCCCTTTTGAACACAGATATTTTTGTACATTTGTTTATGCATAACACTAATATCAGATTTACAGTTTAAGATGAGTTATAAGTATAACAATTTAAAGTTTAAACTGGAGGAGTAGGGAAGGGTATAAATTGCACATATATTTTTAAATGATAAACGGTCATAACTCATAAATGGTAACTGTTATTAATGTATGCATATACAAATGTCTAGACAAATATTCTCTATTCAAATTTGTGTTCAAAAAGGGGGTTTAATTTTAAAATAATACTTATAAACTTATTGAAGGTATATGGAGTAAAGGTAAACAATTTAAAATAAACTCAAAATAAAGCTTAAGCGATTTTACAAAGATAAAAAAAAATAAATCAAATTCACTTAAAATCACCCTGTATATACTATAATTTGTAGTAGATACAATATCTAGTTTAATTTCCATAGTTATTTGTATCTATAAAATAGTATTATTGTTGCTAAATTAAATATTATTGATTATATATATACATATAAATCGTATAAAATTTTTTAAAAACCGTATAAAAATCAAAGTCAAAATGGCAAATACTGAGTGTGAGGAAAACATAAAAAAGGACATACAAAAAGAAACAATCGATGCTGTTTTAAAAGACTTGAAGTCAGAAATAAAATCATTAGAATACCAGGATTTAAAAATTCAATGTACATTGGACGAAGAAGTATGGTTATGTTTTTTAATATTATATATAAGTTGTACTTATACCTACTATCAGTGGCGTGCTCAAGAATTTTTATCGTGAGGATATAAAGTAAATACAATAGTCATGAATAAATCATAGAATCATCTTTTATACGAACTAATCCGACAATAATAATTTAAAGCCAGATCAAAAAAATCAACTTTTGTTCTATGAATCAAGCTTTTCGTCGTAACTTAACTGAAATATATAGGTACCTACTTATAGTTCAAGATCAAATATTTAAATAACTACTCATACAGTGAGTTGTACTTTTAAGCGAATTCGAGAAATGGTTATAATCCCAATCCTCCCTCTTCCCTTGCGCACACCACTGTTTATTATACAGTAATTAAATTCAAATACAATTTGTTTCCGTATAGAACAAAAAAGGTTTGGAAATGAAAAGACTGTTACGTGCCAGGGTACGTACATATTTTTGTTAAATGCATTTTTAAAATATTGTTCCTAAATTTTTATTATTCGTGCAAAAATTGTAACACTAGTACATCATTGTCTTTTCAGAAACCTTTTAGTCGGACGAAAACCGGTGAATTGATATTCCCGGGGAAAAAAGAAATGGTATAGTTTAAATATTACAAGTAAATTCAAAAAATATAAAAATGTGAAACTGTGTAGTTTTTTCTAGGAATTTAAATTGAGCATTATGATGAGAGAAATAATGAAGTTAAAAACGGTGTTAAATGGTTTTGAAGAAGACCGCTGCCGAATCAATCTGGCCCAAGAAATAATCGTAAGTATGTAGCGCGGGAAATTTGTTTCCTTTTTATGCAAAAGTATATATCAATCATCAGTCAATATTAATACATTAGGTATGTACAAATATATTTTATCATGCTAATTTATTACGACTATAGGATGCCAACGAAAACATCGGAGATAATGCGAAAAAACAATTGATCAAGGAATTGGACAAAACGTACAACAACATAAAAAATGAATTTGAGTTAATTTGATGAAATACATTTTGTTTTTTTTTTACATAGAAACCTAATTATATATATTTTATTTAAAGTAATAAAATGTTAGAAGTATCAAAGTATCGGGTGAAATTAGACGCAGTGAAAAAAGAATCTGATATCAATGATAGACGACTAGAAAAAACACAATTTGATTTTGATGAAGCTATAGCACAATTAGAGAAAACAGAATTAGTAAGTCATATAAATATAAAAGACTGAAAAATGTCATTTTATACTATATTGTAAATGAAGATTCAATATTAACTTGCCTTTAGTTTGTTCATGGGGAGTCTGAGAAAAAAAAAGAGCTCGAAGAGGCTCAAAACCGTTTGAATGATTTGAAACCATATGTTGATAAACAAATGAACGAGCTGGATGAAAAAAATAAATCGGTTATTAAAATGAAAAATAAAAAGTAATTTATATTTTTGAATGAACATATTATTCGTTTATTGGTTTAGTATATGAGCGCTATTCATGAAAAAGAATATCAAATAATCCGAGCTAAGAGCCTGTGCAAAGAAAAGGCAAAATTAACCACAGAATTCGACAGTGAATTTAACCGTGTTAATGTCTGTGCAATGTGCATTGGATGTATATTTGAATAATCCAAATAGACGTCATTATTTTTACTTTAGGAATATTTTAAGAGTCGATTCGATGACATTAAACATTTGCCTACTGTGTTACAAGCGGTTCAAGGACAATTGGCCGCCCAGAAAGAATTAAAAATAGCAGTGGAAAAAATTATTGAAACTCTCAGTAGAAAATTAAAAACACTAGTACAAATATTAATGTAGTCGCAAGTAGCATTAAATTAAAAGTGTGATGTTTAATAATTTACAGAGTTCAAAAACAGATGGTAGTTCCATTAATCAACTCAAACAATTAGAGAAGCTAAAGGCCAAACATATTAGTTTAAAGTAAGAATAAACGAATATGAACCAATTGAATTACTATTATTTTAGCTTTAACTTAATAATTAAAAATTCCTAGACAAAGCAGTGGGTATGGAGTAGGGCAGAGGAAATAGATACCCTTCCGTTCAAAGCATAAGAGGGAAAACATATAATTTCACCTCCCCACCCAATAAAATATAGGTGAAACTATACAAAAGGCAAAACCAAATATTTAATTGTCATTAATATTATTTATTAATTCCTTATAAAAATTAAGAAAAAAGATGCTAATACTGAGGATGGAAGCAGCCACTGTTGTAGGTGAAATTTGGGAAGGTAGAATACATAAGGTTATTTCATTTATATCTGTTAGCAGCGATAAACCATCGATTGACGAAAAACAATCCCGAGCGCAGTTCGGTGATACATCATTTGAAGCGCCGTAATTTGTTTGCGATTTTCGTTTAAATTTGATTTCAAAACGTTTATTAAAAAAAAAAGTCGTCCGATCATTTCGAAAATTTTACCACATCCAAGTAAATTGAATTTACCTAGACGTGGTATTATGGTACCTTGGTACCTTGGTATTATTACCAATTTTCAAGTTTCTACGTGTATTTTTAACCGAATTATAGCAAAAAAAACTCCCATGAATTAAAATTCCTTAAAAGCTCAAAAGTTTCGGTGATGATACCGTAAAAAATAAAATCAAAAAAAGCATCTTGTAATTTTTCGATAAAATCATTTTTTTTGGTAGAAAATATCGTTCATATTTTTATAAAATAATGAAATTGTACGTTTTCCTACATTTTTTCCCACTTAAGTGCTTTTATTTAAAAAATGGGGTATAAAGTCAAATTTGGACAACTTGAGCTTTTAAAAAAGATGCTACACATAAAAATTGAAGCAAGTTTACTAGGAAAAAACATATCCATAGATTAGAACAAAGAAGAAGAAAAAAAATAAACATCTTAGTAAAACCTATAGTTCAGCTCCCCCCTCGCTACGCTCGGAATCTAAAATAAAAATGACCAATGTTAAAATTTCAAATAAATATATTTCATAATTTTATAACATAACTGATATTATGGTTTTAAAAAAACTAGTAGGAATTATTGATTATATTCGTAATTGTGTGATATTATCACTATTTACTACACAAACTACGTACAATTAGATACGTAACATTCAATGGCAAATTAGCAACACTATAAACTAATTGAACAGCAATGCAATTCCGGTTCGTGTTTTCACAAGTAAAAAGTATATCATATTAATCTTCTCCAATCATATAAACATACTATACTGTTATTTATTTGTTTATAATAATTAACATCTGCAAGAGGTTAACGTACAGAGTTTCTTGACACTAATACATATAAATACAATTTTACAATACAATTATATATTTAAACAGAAGTATTTAAACAGAAATTATGTGTTATACTATGACTCAATACATTTTACTTTTTGAGCACTGGTGAGTACCAGTAGGATAGTAAAAAAAAAAACACAGAAAGGGGAGGTGAGTCTATGCATACATATCAGGGGGGAAGACGAGTCTTAGGAAATATAGAAACTGTGTAGCGATAGACGAATACACCTTCTGTATTTTGCTCCCCCCCCCCGTAAAATAGTTCCTGCACCATATGAAAGTATAGGTATACACATTGATTGTTTTTTATTTGGGGTTAAATTTAAGGTGGACGTTAAAAATACATTTTAAAACGCCAAAAATCATTATGTGTAACATCTTTTTTTAAAATAGGAACGAACAAGAAAAAACGCAAAAGATTTTATCCGACTTACAACAACAGCACAGTGAAATAAAACAAAATATTAATCAACAGAAATCTCGATTAGAAGATATAAAAGTCAAAACGTCTTTGAAACTTACTAAATACTGGCGCATTTTGAACGAGCTAATCGAAGAGTATTTGCATACAATTGATAATTTTCAAAATCAAGTATCTAAACTCGAGGCGTATTCTTGTTTCGAGGAAGGAAAACTAAAACTTGTAATATCTCTTACCTAATCTTATATATTATTTATATAAAATTGGTATTATTAATAATAACTTTTGTATAGGCGTCTTCTATGATGCAGAATCAAATTGATAATTTGTCAAACGTTTTAAAAGATTCACAAAAACAAATAACCAAAATTGAAAATTTACAGAAATACTTGGCTGCTAATGAAAATGAAAGATTTTGTGATACAGATAAAATTTAATTATACACGCTAACAATAATTGTATGTTTAATAGTTATGTAAGTGAGTATATGTTTTGTCATAACGTATGATGGTAATTTTAAACGGGACATGAAGATCATTGTAAAATCAATACATTCCTCGCTCCAATCAAAATCTAAAAATCATTATAACATGACAGTCTAGTTTTTTTTTTGAACCACTAAGTTCACCTATCCTAACCTAACCACTGAGTTATACACTTATATGAACCTCCTTTTAAATAGTTAAGCATTTCTGTTTAGTCTAACAATTGTATCCACAGATTACCAAATAAAAATTATGTACAAAACTCACAAAGTTAAAATTTCTATAAATAGCCAAAAAAAGCTCAAATGTTTTTAAAAAAATTACCATGTCTAAAAAATGTAAATATAAGTTATATGTAAAAATGTAAAGTCTCAACGAATATTTTAAACTGATAAACATATTAAAAAAAAGCTGTACTAGGATAATAAGGACGGGTGCAGCCATTATTATAGATATTTTAATGTTCACCTGTAAGCAACAATAAATCATTGCTAATGAAAAAATTAGTTTTTTCAATTCTATTGATAGTGATGCTTTGTCAACAATATAAATATATCATATTATCATAAAATTATTAAATAGGCATTATATATTTGCTTTAATAATATTTTTTTAATGTACCGTTTCCCGTTTTTTCATATTTGCTGGGAAAAATCTTGGGAAAATCGAAAAATGGCCTCCTTAAGGTACCTTCCCAGTTAGATTTCCTTTTAGAAAAATGTCTCCACTTAAAAATCGAAGCAAGATTTCTGGTAGAAAAATTGCACACATAAACATCTTTATAAAACCATAAGCTTCTTCGCTTCATTTAGAATCTAAAAAAGACACATACTTCGCACGTGGGTGCAGCCACTGCTGTAGGTGTCAAGTTGGAAAGGTAGGATACAGAAGGTAATTTAATGTAATATCTGTAAGCGATGATAAACCATTGCTAATGAAAAAACGATTCTGAGCGGAGTTTAATTTATAGTGATGCTTTATTAACAATTTTGTTGTCATATTTTGGTAAAATCCTAAAAATATACCCGTAATTAGAAGTAGTAATCGAATTAAACAAATCTGATTGTGTCGATGATAGTCACTCCTATAAACGCGTGTAGTATTGTATATTATTGGACTAGCCAAGGGGAATAATTTAAAACTAAAATTATGCTTACAAAAAAAAATTCTGAGTAAAGAAAATATTACGTTTTGATTAATTTAAATTAAAAATTGCCATAATTTGTAACTAAAAAATAAATTATCTTCATGTTACCACTCGTATAAATAACTCAAAAAAATAAATATAACTTGTCGAATAAATATCTAATTTTTTTTCGTTTTAGTTGGCTGTTTTTTGTGTTGTCCTTTTTTGGTTTTCTTGGCGTCACGAGTCTTAATATAGTTCAGATAACTTCTGAAACGTATTTGTATTTTTCGAGCCGCTATATTACGTTGGATTACATGTAACTTTTCATTCCAAATCCTTTCGTTTTCCATTTCTTGTTCGAGAATCACTTCACTGTAAAATGGCATTTGACACGAAATCAGTTCCTAAATAAATTCACAAATTATATTCTTTAAATAGGTAACTATATTGAGTAGGTTAGGTTAAGATACCTAACCTATAGTGTATCTATATAAAATAATTTTCGATGCCCGTCAAATATTTAGATATTTTATGTACTGAGGAAATCAAATTACGTACCTACATAACTATAAATGTATATTATGGAATGTGAAAATAGAAATTTCTTTTAAAAATCTAATAAGATAATATTCTACTGTTTAACAGATTATAATTTTAAAAAAATATCACAACAAACAAAATGCGTCCCAACTCCCAAAATCCCTTTTTTATACGTATTGTGTCTCGATAAAATATTATTGGGACTACACTATTTAACGGCTACATGAATTCCGTCCCAACGTAAAAACGTTATTTTCATTCCTGTTTTATAAAGACTTATTATTATGATTGTTAATAGCAAATTTATTTTTATCAATTCGCTTTAGGTTATTACCAACTCAGTTTATGTCTATTAAAAATTCAGCCGAATCTTTAATATGATTATGATCATTTGTACGTTCTAAAACGTTTTTTTTTTTTTATCATTTTGTTTAATATACCTGTATGTATATATACATAAGACTTAGATTTTTTTCACAGCAATTATTTAAACATTAAATATAATGTTATAATATAATAATATTATATATATATATATATTATTTAATGCTTTTTATGGTAACGAAATTTGTATCCATCTGTACAAAATATAGTTTTATTTTTTTCACTTAAAATCACCGATGTCATTTTATCAATAAGATTTAAAATTTCGGCAACGTTTACATAATCACGATCGACTACTATACGAATTAAACAATAAAACCTTATAATACGAACTACGACTAAACAAACAGATGACACACATAGTGATGGACACTACCGAGTTAAAACTATTTACTCTGTTGTTTTTTAAACTATCTATAGTCAAAACCAGTCGGTACTATTTCTGAATGAAACCTATCGACTAATTCATTCGATAGTTTTCAAAACAATTGATGGGTCAAATTATCTATTCAATCGACAAATCACTCGGTTGGTTTTTAAACTATTGATTAATAATCGATATTCAAAACTAGTCGGTTCCACCCATCACTAGACACACATACTAAAAGTATAATCTGCACAAAAAAATAATTAGTATAAGACTGGGATAACTTATACGCAATAATATACGCAATTGGAGGAGTCGTCCAGAAAAATCCGGAACACAATTCGTGTAGTCGCTTATCGGATTTTTATTTTGGGACGCAATTCGTAGGTCTGTAGCCGAAAATTCGTGAGATAAAAGTATTTATAGTTTATACACTATTTTATAGAAAATCGAAAATGTACCTTTATAATTATAATTTATAATAAATTTACTTATAAAAATAATTATATAAATTAATACCATAAGAAATTACTTTTTTTCAATGTCAATATTTAAGAATTTCAATTTCATATACCTACTGAAGACTAACGAAAACCCGGTTTGTTTATTTGATTGAAAAAAGAATCCACGAAAATAATTTGGAATAATTGAATTAAAACAAAAATTTGTTTTTTTATATTTTGGTTGTTTTGTCCACAAGTAACGTCAAATAGAGACGATTTTGAGACTTTTGTCATTCCTATGTAATGTGCTTAATACGAGTATAACTATTATATTATGACAATACATTTTTCATATTTAAGCTTTTCAGTAGGATTAAATTCGTATGAAATAATTAGTTTTGCTACTTACTTGTAATTGGTCTATATTGGCTTCGATCGTTTTTATTTTCGAATTGAAGTCGTTGACGTTTTTGTGTTTTTCCATCATCTTAGTATCATATGTCTGTACGATTCTTGCCTTTTTGGCCGTTAAATCGTTCCTATAACAGAGATTTATTTTTGCTCTTATATTATACAATATACAGAATAATTTTTTTATGTTGAACCAATCAAAATTTTCCAAGAAATAATATTTATTTATTTTTTTTAATTAATATGAAATAAAATACATTTCTTTATAAAAATTTAATCGTTAAATAAACTACACAATTTAAAAAGTACGAATGCATTTTTTTTTAAATAAATTCATGTTATACCTATATAGGTTATAGGTATATAATCTTTTTTTTTTTATTTAGAAAATTAATAATTTTAAACTTACAATAATTGCAACACGTAATTTCACTATTTTCTAATTAAACTGGATATATGAATACTTTTAAGTATATAATAAATCAAGTTTAGGTTTTTTTTTTCTCTTAGATCAAGTAAATTTTGAAGTACTGAAATATCAAGTCCGACTACTTTTAACTTCTATGTTTATAAAATGTGTTGATGATAACATTAATAATTAGGAATTACTTTCACATTTAAATAATTTGGTTAAGTTATTGAATTTTAATAAAATTGCTACTCCTCATAAGAAGATCTATGGAGTTTTTATTAACTTAAAATAGTAAATTGTCTGTTATGAATATACAATTTGTATGCAATGTTTTAACAATTTTACATAAAATATAATAATGATTTCTTGTTGACACATTTCATAAATTAGTTAAATTTTAAAAACATTTAAGATGCCCGTCACATTTAAAGTTTAAATATTTTTAATTTAATAACAATATACATTCAAAAAAAAAATATCATGGGTAGATCATTTTGATTACATAAATAAATGATAGGAAGAAAAAAAATTGGAATAATCACTCAATAGTGCTACCACAGATAGACCCTAAGCTTTTAAAATGCTATTAGGGCTCACTAGATATCTTTCTTAATTTTTTAGTTAGCTAGTCTCGTGTCAGTAAATAAATATTTGTTAAATTGAGTTAATATTTCGTGTTAGTACGTGAAAATCAATATTGATACTAAATATAAATAAGAACCATGAGAGACTGATATCTGTCTTATCTATCTCATGGAGCAATCCATCATTCTATCAAGACATCAAGTTAATGAATATTCTGAAAAGTAATTTGTATATTATAATTTTATATAATAATCAATAATATTTTATGTGTGAATAGAGCTGATAATGCTCATTATTTTATTATTAACTTATCAAAGGTAATGAATAAAGGTAAGTGATTTATTTATTTATTTAATAATTTACGCCCTCAGTGGGGCAATAGTACAATATAATAGTACACATAATATTTACATAAAACAGATTAATTAAATACTAAATTACTAAATACTAAGCTCTATCAAGGGTACATTGTTTTAATTTAGAGAAACTATCGGTAAAGAAATCAAAATTTCTTAAACCATTACAGGAGTTCAAGGTCCGATATAAGGAGCTACTCGGGACAAAATTTCTTTTATGGGGTTCAATACAGAAACAACGAAAACTAAGATTTTTTTGTGGTACGTTAAAATATATTTTTTGCAATAAACCAGAACAGTCAATGGAACCGTTCAAGAGTATAGATACAAAAAGTACATCAATAAAATTGCGTCCAGATTTTAATAAATTCATGTTGCACTAACGCTCAACTACAGAAGTAGGATAGTCAGCCAAATTAATTTTATGTGCTATCATGCGAAGGAACCGTCGTTGCACCTTTTCAATTTTGGTCATAAGGCCTAGTTGCATAGGGTTCCAGACAACTGAACCAAATTCAAGACCAAATTATACTTGAATCAAATTCACTTAAAATCCTCCGAGAAAATTGCTAGTTCATGATAAAAAATATCACTCTGTATATATTCTACAGGGTATATATTGTGTATATTAATATGCATTATATATATAACAAAATGAATCAATACCAATACTTAGTTTTTTCAGATTAAACCTCACAGATATATAATATACGAGGTCATGATTCATTCTTATAATATAAAATTCTATAGTTAATGACGTCAGTTTTTTACAATAATTCATATAGGCATACATATAATATAATTCATATAATAGTTTAAATTACCTTGTAAACATTAGACTCGATGTATTTTATTATAACCCAGTAAACGGACTATATCAAATTAAGTACCTATTAACATATTGAAGGAAATTATAGTTTCTTCATAGTCATTAATTGTATTATTGGTTAATCTGTCAAATACTTTAATCAAGTTGATTTCAAGCTTAAAAATGTTCTATACAAACTTAGCTTATAGAAGAAGAAACATATTTACGTTGCAAAATACAATTTTATCTAATAACCAGGTCTTTAGCCAGATCTATTCTTCAGGAGGGAGGCGGCGAACCGAGTTATAGAGGGGGTATTAGAAAAAAACAATATTATGACTTTTTTACTCTCGTATTCTTTTTTTCAATGTAACGATTAATTCGAAAATGGCCGTCTTCAGATAAAAATTCTAGGGGGAGCAATGAACGGGTCTACGGAGGAAATGCCTCTATTACCCCCCCCCCCTATGGTGACGGACCTGCTAATAACAATCAGTGTTCCATGGTTAGATACTGGGTACCACGATTATAGATAAACGGTTATCTGCAACCGAGCTAGGTTAATTTTGTGAATTAATGAAGACTGCTGAAATCGAACAAACTTAATCGTGACCTAATATTATTAAATAATAATTGTAAGAAAAAGTAAGTGATCGTAAATGGATGTTCTTTATTTTATGTTATGAATTATGTCTAATAATATTTTAATATTTATCAATGCTTAATTACGTCACTGTTACCTGATCAATGTCAAGTTGTTTTTTTCAATTTCGTTAATTTTCGCGTTTGACTCAATTTTCGTAACAATTTTTTTCGACTCTAATTTTAAGTTTAGTATTTTATGTTCGTGTTCTTTCATTGCCGCGATGATAATAGCTTCGGATTTCATTCTGTAATAAAAAAAAATATATTTATAATATTGAAAAAACTGTTATGTACTTGCAATCTGAATATTTTGATGTTCCAAATTATTCATTTTTGTAAACCAACTGTACGAACATTTTTTTTTTCATTGCAAACTGTAATTGCCGGTCCACGATATTAAAATGATGTTCGATTTTGTTTCTTTCACCGAGCATTCTCTGTACGTCTTGTTTGAGCTTTTCGTGTGTCTGCTGATCTATATTGAATTTGTTCGGCTTGTAGTCGTAAACAGCTACGGTACGAAAATCATTTCTTGAATTTCGTATAAAAACCAAATCTGCATCGTAGTCCGCTTCCAACTGTTTAATTAGTCGAGTGACGAATCGAACACTCAAACATGCATCAAACCGGAATTTCGGTGTATTCTTTAAAAAATTAATAACTACGAGTATTATAATACATAATTTTGATACACGTTAGCTACACTGAAAGCATGATCCAATCACAATAATAATTATAGAGCTTAAATTAATTACAAATTACAGTTAAGAAATATATTTTTTTATCTGATAGAGTATGTAAAATATTATTTATGTTGAGAAACATTACCTAGGACCTTGGTATATAAATATATATTCTTGAAAATCATTTCAATTTTCAAACCATGGGAAGATATGATTTTTAATATGTAAACTCCGATAGGTTAAACAATATTTATTTGATACAGAATTTTAAATTGTTCAAACTATTCCAAACAATATGGAACTGGTCCAAACTATTTTTAACTGTTCTATCAAAGAAAATTAATTTCATAACTAAATAAACAGCTGTCTCAAATAATTGAAGAACTAATTTTAATTTTCAAATAAGAAAAGAATATAAACATATTTTTGTAGAAAATGGTGTCAAGTCAAAGGTATGGTACCAATAAGAATAAATAATGAGTATCTATCTAATTTTTAAAGTGAAAACCAGAATAATCAAAATTATGCGATAATACATTTTGTTTTTACTGCATTATAAATTTATCTATTGACTATATTTAATAATAAAAAAAAAGACATCCTAGGATAATAGGAACGGATGCAGCCGTTATAGGTAATTTAATGTATATCTGTTAGCAACGATTAACTACTGCTAACGAAAAAACGATTTTGAGCGGAGTTTAGTTAATAGTTATGCTTTGTTAACAATGTATATGTTATGTTATGGTAAAATAATTAAATAGACATTATATATTATCTTTAATAATTATTGTACTGATTTTCCCGTTTTTCTTACGGTTTTCCTAGTTTTCCCATTTTTTTCTCGTTGTTTACATTTGCTGGGAATGCTCTTAAAAAAATTGAAAAACGTACCTCCCCAGTGAAATTTCCTATTAGAAAAATTGTTATAATTATAAATTGGGTCAAAATTGGTGGTAGAAAAGTTTTCCACAGGTTGTCAACAAAAGAAGACCATAATATTTTTAACTAATACCTACATTTCTTACATTTTCTGGTTTTCCTTGTTTTCCTATGTTTTTTTTCGGTTTTTTATATTTGTTAAGAAAACGCAGAAAAAATAATCTCTTTAAATTACCTCCTCACACCGATTTCCTTTCAGAAAAAGTGCTACACTTAAAAATCTATGCGAGTTAAAAGTCGAGTTGAAAAGTCGTCCACAGAAAAAAAATAAACATCTTTATAAAACCATAAGCTGCTTTGCTTCACTCAGAATCTAAAACTTTCACTTTAATAACTTTTGAACGAAATATTTTGATTAAAAACTCACTTGCGATAAATCGTTTAAATCCGAGAGAAAGTTGTTTAAAATGCGAATCATCGTTTCTTTTGTTTCCTTGGTATATACATTTTCCATATTTCAAGTATAACTTAGATTACTAATTTACCGAATTTTAATACCTAAATGCATTTTCATTTAACATTGCAAGTACTTATAATTTTAATATTTACTAAACGCTATGAGAAATTAATAACTTTTATTAGGTAAGGTCTATAAAACATTGTTAAATAACCCGCATTACTAAGTTATCGATTTAATACTGCAAAAATATATATTTAGGTTGGCTATCAATATATGATAGTTATATAATAAAATAACAAACGTCACTATGGACACAAAACGGCATAAATCAATATGCAGGATTAGGCTTTTTGTTGCATTTTTAATCTAGTAGGTTAATTCGTATACTGTGTTATTATTTTCCAAGCAGTTTTCTTAATAATTGAGGAAAATCAGAAAATGAATGGGAAATTTATCAACAAAAAAAACGGTTGTAATTCAGTTAAAATAAATATAGATTTATATAAATTAAATTTATAGAGTACTTAATAAGTTGAAGTTTGCTTTATTTTAATTAGAGTTTAGCTCTTTTGAAATTTAATTATTTGAAGGTTAATGGTTAACCAATAAATTATTTTATTTATACATTTCGTTTAATTAGTTATTACTTTAACATCTACCTAAAGATTAAATACTACTTAACCAACAGTTTGAGTATTCGTAGTCTTTTTAATTGTTTATTTCTGCCTATATACTACGACTTTAATTCGAACGATAGGGGTTACGACTATCTAATAGTTTTAGTAAACGCCTAATATGCCGCATACTCTATGTGTTCGTTGTCGAGAAGTCAAAGATAAGACTCGACGTAGTAAGGCCACTACTACGTTCCACTAGTTAAATAGTCTTTGTCAATTGAAAATCGCACAAAAACATCTTTAATTGTACGACCGTGGAAAATGTAGAAACTTGGTTTGTATTATTTTTTACTACAGATATATTTTTGTTACTAAGTATAACTGAAAATGTAAATAACGTATTAAGTATCAAGTAAAATGATTGTAATTATAGTTCCACAATCAATGAAAACGATGAAATAAACGTAAGTAGGGATTATTTTAAAAATTATATAAACCAAATATTTTATGAATCAGAAACAACAAAACCTAAACTATACTATAGGTTTTTGAAAATAAAAAAAAAAGTTGAAAGCGATCATCAGATTGAAGATGGATTAATAGAGAACGATTATTTTGATGACACATATTTAAATGATTTTATAGAGAAATATGTATCATTCATACCAATATTGACACCAGTCGTGAATTATAAATATAAAAACGATTTTGAAATTCATTTGAGTAACGTGACTGTAGATTCTTAGTTTAAAACGATAAAATTTGTTTTATTCCAAAGAAATTTAAGACAAAAGTGTGGGCCGTTTTTTACGTACAATGAGAGGATGTGTAAAAATAACGAATAAACAATTTTAAGTGGAGTTCAGTTGATAGTGTTGCTTTGTCAACAATATATGTTATAGTATGGTAAATTAATTGCATAGGCATTAAATATTTTCTTTAATATTTGTTTAATATTGATCTATTTTCCCCTTTTTCCTTGTTTTAATATGTTTTCCCCCAGTTTATTCAATTAATGGGAAAACCCTTGAGAAAATAAAAAAATTAACTCCATAAATACCACTCCAGTCAGATTTTTGTACAGCACCATTTCTAAAAAGAAATATTGTTTAGATGGTACTTTTAGGAGATCATTTTTTGATTTTCCAAACGGTTTTCATAATATCTGGGAAAAACCAGGATAAAACGTAAGAAAAAACAGGAAATGTACGAAATTAATACTTTTATTAATTTATCAATTTTGTTATTTGTTAATTCAGTTAAAAATATTCGTATCAAATCGATGGACTTGAAATTCGGATAGAAAATTTATGTTTGCCTTTCCTAGACGTGGTAAAATCTTTAAAAAATATAAGCCTTTTTTGAGCTATTTATTGACATTTTAATTTTGCAAATGTGTACGTAATTTTTATTTGATAGAAAATTGCTGTGCTAAAATTGTTAGATTTAACAGAAATGCTTGAAAATTTAACAGGTTTATTAATTCTTACTTTATGGTAAAAAAAAAGTTCGTACGATTATTTTCCAGGATTTTTTGCCGTCCCAATTAAATGATAGAAACTCAAAAAACAACACGATTGAGCACGGAAATAGGTACAACGTTGCCACTATGTACCGTAGAATATTATTATTAAAAAATAAAATACATTTGAACATAAATATTTATAAATAAAAATATTTTATTGATTTTTAATCACATATTATTATTACGTATTAAGATAGCGTTTACTGAATCAGTTTGTTTAATATATCACAATTAAAATTTGTTCCCCTAAATACTATAGTATTTGTCAGTAGGTATAATGTACATAATACCATATTATATAATATGTTGCATATCTGTAATTGAAGAATTACATTGTATCTTCATTTTCATNTATTATATAGTTTTTTTTTTGCTTATTTAGTACAAGTGATTATTTATTTGAACGTCAGAAGTAAGTACTATATTTTATTCTTTGATTACCTTAGTATTTGTCAGTGGGTATAATGTACATAATACCATATTATATAATATGTTGCATATCTGTAATTGAAGAATTACATTGTATCTTCATTTTCATGCATATACCTACAAGTTACAACCTATACGACATCCATTACTGAGTTTGTATGTATATATCTATCAGGACACATTATTTATAAAGGCGCCTACTTAAAATGTACTTTACTTTTGTAAAACACAATAATGCTAAATTTAAATAATATTTTTAGATGGTAAATGTATTTCAAAGTGTTCATATGTTATTTAATATCAACTTCAAGAAGGAATAAAATGCAGTTTTAATGTACTATAATGCTGTCTGTCNACCTACAAGTTACAACCTATACAACATCCATAACTGAGTTTGTATGTATATATCTATCAGGACACATTATTTATAAATGTAGGTACCTACTTAAAATGTACTTTACTCTTGTAAAACACAATAATGCTAAATTTAAATAATATTTTTAGATGGTAAAGTAAATTCAATAGATAAGCAAATTTCAGGATTGAGGTACGATAACCGCACATTATTTGAAACATTAGAGGATTGAAAAAAAATTGGATAAATTGGTTGGAAATGGGACGGTAGACATTCAACTGCAAGCTACTAAAAGCCAATTAAATAGTGTAATGGGATAACCAATATTTAAAACAATGGAATTGGAGGAAGAACTTCTGGATTTCGATAATAAGCTAAAAGAAAATAAAAAATTTCATTTCCAAATAGTATTTATTATTGATACCATATACAATCACATCTTGAAATTAATTTAATGTGCTATCAAATAGCATACAGTTAAAATTAACAAATGATTTTACTAAATACATTTTAATAAATAAAATATAATAAACGATTTCCACAATTTTTTATTTAATAAAAATAGTTTATACATTTCTGGTTTAATTTTATTTGTTATTTAATAGCTTCAAATTAAAAACAAAAATACTGTATAATATATAATACATGTATACATGTACACTCTTATAAGTTATTTTATATCTTTAATTTATTTTTTAGATACAAGAATTAATAAGACTGTTAGGCATAAACATAAAACGATCCATAAAACGAATTTTTGAAAAATTGTTCAACGATAAAATATTATGCAGTTATTTGTTTCATGGTATTCGGGCAAAAAAAAAATTTTCATCATTTTATATATATTCAGTAATTATTGGTAAAATATTGATTGACAGTTTTTATATATTTGTTTTTATTATTGATATTATAATTTAATAAGAGATGCATTACCTTCACATTTAATTATTCTCATAATTCAAGCCGATGAGAGACCGCACTGTTCTTACCCTTGAGTCCTATAATAGGTTATTTACATTAAGATTAAACACACACAATTGGAATTGCTGAATGTATATTTCGGTACAGTATATGTTAGTAAGACGGGGACAACACATATGCGGGTAGGGCGTCCTCTTAACTTGTTTTCTGTTAAACATAATTTTNAATTCAAAAATACTTAGCACAAAGACCATTTGTTGTCAAAAGAAATGAACAAATTTCAAAAAAAGTACCAGAAGACATGACTGAAGATGGATAAATTTATTAATTGTACTAAATATATTTTAATTATTATTATATCATATGGTATAAATATTCTAATATTTGTCATTGAAATACACTAAAATAAAACAAATGAAATAATTATTAGTATGATATGTATAAAATGTTTAATTTTAATCAAAAGTTCCTAATAAATAATAATGTTCTATTATAATATACCTACATGACATTTCATAACAGGTAACTAGATTTCTTCAATATTATCTAATGGTTATGCATTCAATACTATTATGGCATTAAATGGATATTAGATAATGCCTATAAATATTATTGTAATATTTAATATGCATTACTAAATAGATGTTGAAAAATTAATATTGTGGTCATATTTTTTGAATATTAAAAATTAATTATATAACATCTATTCAAGTTGATTTTAAAGATCCATTTAATATTAGTAATACAATGTGCATGTAACATTGTAAATTTAATATTAAATGAACATTTTTGCCGGGCCAAATAAAATTGCTGGGATATTGCATTGACATTAAACAATTTGCATACAATTCGTATTCGATATCTATACAATCTCATAGTTGAATAATTAACATTTATACAATCTTATAGCAATGTTTTTTTGCTGTAGCTGTACAATCATTTTTTGTACATTGCCATTTTAAAAATTCTCCTTTTTTTCTTAACCCAATAAACCTGTACTTGAAAGCTCCAACATTTGCCAACTTTGTCTCTCTCGAATAAAATAATTAATATTTCATTATTTCCCATCATATAAATTGTATAATTTATAAAATACTACTATTTTTGAAGAAACATGAACACGAGACAACAAAACAGACTGAATGTGACCAAGTTTTATTTACAGCGTAAGTACATACAATAACAGTTGATCACAATTTAGAGCAATCGTTGTAGATAAAATTCTGGTTTCTTATTTATCACAGTTATTTTCAACTTCCGTGGGTACCCATCGATCGATAGCAAAATCTTTTTCAACCAATGTAGCTAATAATTTACTAATTACCTATTATTCATCTACACTAGATACGTACTAGTTAAAATCTGACAACGTTGTACACAATATTTATTTATTTTATCGTGCTCAATCGGGTCGTCAAAAAGGTCGGCCAATAACAACCGTACTCAATCGGGTATTACCGGAGGGAGTATACGGTTTTAGAATACTGCCGCTGCGCTGTAGTCTCAACAGTGACATATGACCTCTGTAAATTCGTCAAATTTGCCAAAAACATGATTTCTTACTATTGATCGTAGAAACATGATTTCGGTACTAAAACCATGTTTCTACGATTAATGAGACCTGAGTACTTTTGGAACTACGAAACTATGTTTTTACGGTCGATTTTTTTTCTACTGTGATGTCCTCTTAAATGGTACAGCCTAATAGAAAAATTTCAAGCATGATTTTTCGCTTAAAAACAATTTACAGAAAAAACTCTCACGATTCGCAGATTTATCAGATTTTTCAATATTTTTTTTTTTTTTTTTGTTAGATAGAGAACGATTTTTTGAAGGGCACACTGAACTTCAATTTTTGATAAAATTGCTAAAACCAAAATATTAAAAATCTAAAAACTTATAAAAATCTCCAAAATTTAAACTCTTATAATTTTTAAAAATTGAAGTCCAGTGCACCTTGCATGATGTCTTCCTTTTTCTAAAAAAAAAAGTTATCGAAATCTAATCACTCCACGAGACGTGAGAGTTTTTCCTGTAAGGCAGGTTTTTTGAGTAATACTCTGCCGTGAAAAGTTATTTTACCTATTTTAGTAATCTTGTGTTTCGGCGGTCAATTTTATTAAGTGGAGTAGATAATTTTTGTACAATTACATGACAATGACATTTTTTAGGAAATATGAGATTTAATTACATATACTATTATAGTAATTTAAAGCGTGGAGCCTTTCTGGAACGCATTCGAATACCAGAAAAACTGAATACCAAACTTCCATAAAAACTGTTATCCCTGTTGAGCGTGGTGATCGATTATGTTGCGAAGGAAATTTTTATAAAACCGAAATAAATATTTATGCATTATATTTCTGTGATCATTTGAAAATAAAAATAATAAAATATCAACTATTATTGCAATAATTAAAAGCTGGAAATATTGTACAATTTCTAATGGTAGGTATATATTAACGCCGGTGGACCACTTCGTGTAGTTTACACAACATACACCACTGTCTGTCTTCAAAATATTAATTATAAAAAAAAAATAGTTAATAATAGTTATTTTTTTTCTTATAGTGAAAATGTTTGAGAGTCATTTTTATCCATCTATTGGAGTATAACGTTTAATTTTTGTTGTCATATAAAACCGTTCTTATTAAACTATTGTTGGACTTGTATTGCTCATTTCAGATCTGTATTCAAGCCACCAAAAGTTAATTAGCTTGGAAATTAGCAGTTAGTAATGCTAATTCGGTCAACAGATAGCATTGTAAATTGTTAGTCTGCATTGCGACTATAGTTTAAGATATGTATATATGTCTTAAATCGTAATTGCGACTCCCTCCACAACTTCTCTTGAACAATAATTTGTGGCACCTGATAAACTGCTCGCACGAATTAAGATATACAGGACACCAAACTGAAAGATCTTATTAATGTTTTTTTGAGTCCTAACTGATCTCACTGTTTAGCATGACAGCTAGCGCTTCAAGTCAAAATTGGTATAAAAATCATCTAAAACCGGTTAAAAGATTAGACTGGAGGAGTAGAGTATGTAATAAATTGCATATCTATTCTATAATCAATATTGGCATACCATGTAAAGAATACATTAGATAGTCTTGCCAAAAGTGAGAAGATTCAAGCTTTAATAGTTTCACTTATCACACGTTCTTTGGGTATCCTGTATATCTTAATTCATGACTGCTCGTGACCAGTCCATTAAATCTTGGTTCGTGATTCATGACATAGTATATTACATATATCAGATTTAGATAAGGCGGACCTCCACATCTGTTGACCCACTGAGGGTGCACAGGATTCCACCATGGCGACTATGACAAACCAGTTGCACCGATAATTCACCTCGCTCCTGACGGGACATTTAGCTGACTCACCAGTTTCAATTTTGGGTAGTTTACGGCTTCAATACTTCATACCATTCAGGGACATCTCCGTCTCAAACTAGACGGACACCATATTCGATCATTATATATGTTTGTATTATGTATTTACCTTTTAAATAAACTCTCTTTCGCTACATGCCCTTTATTAATTATCGCAATTAATATGTGGACGCCAAACCTTTTTTCCATATCTATCAATATTATCTGGGTGTGGCCATTAGTTAATAAGTCTATGTGCACATATCCATGATTAAAACATTATTTTATATTATTAAATATTATTTTACTATTGCATATTTCAACCATGGTTTATCCAAGCCTGGATTAACACTATCATAGGCCATAGACAGTAATAGGCAAAAAAAAGCTCAACAGTAAATTGTTAGATTTACCACTAATAAGAAAGAAAAGTCATCAAATAGCTTAGGCTGCCTAGAACTAATTTGAATAACTTTTTATGTAACAATTTTAATATATCTTAAAAAACAATTAATTTTAATCCAAACTATATAAAATTAAATTGTCAAAAACCATACAAAATAAATAACTTCTTTTATACTATTTTGAATATTTCTTTATCTCTCCCCACCAGTGGCAGCTCGATGTATTTCTACCTTAAATCACAGATTTAATTTTCCACCCATCCCAACCCAAGATACTTTACCCTACCACCGCAAACTAAGTTATCTTAGTCTGTGCCTAACACACGTTTTTAAATTTAATAAATTCCAACAAAATTTGTCAAACTTATAAAATTTCCGCAGTCTAAAATAATTTTAATGAATTTTATTTTGTACAACCTTAATATTTTGTCAAATTTCTGAATATCCAGAAACTCACAACCCACCCTACCTGTTTTTTTTTGTGAATTAACTTATTATAATAATAAAAAAGAATATATATAAAATATAACAAAAATATTGTAGGCCATTTATAATTATATTATAATAAAACATTAAAAACTACTAACAAAAATTGTTATTTTTACACATATTATACTCGTAATATAGTATACAAATTGTTTATCTAAAATTAAATTAGAAGTTTTCATGCAAGTTATGTATTATTTTAGTGGAGTAAAAAGCAATGTAAAATACAAAATATGTATTTTTGCACTATGAAATAAATAGTTTAATAGAAATAGATATATAAAAATGATGTGTTTAAAATAAAACTTAATAAATAAGTAAACTATTACTTGTATAAAGCTACAGCAATTATTTTTCTTATTCTTATAAATTAACATATACCTAATTAAATTATTAAAATCAAAAAAGTGTATATCTAAGTATTTTAATATTTAGATACTTGTACAATAGATTATTCTTATTATTATTATTACACACACATTTTAATATTAGGTGTACTTATATTCATCTATTATAAATAATATAATGTTAGACAAATTTACATTTAGTGGATACTACTAAATCAATATTATATTCAATTATTTGTATTATAATTAACAATTAATAGTGCTTTATTAATTTTTAACTTTGAATTCCTTATACTATAGAATTATTTTATAGTTAAATGTAATTCAACTTAATATTCTTGAAATTTATTGGAAATATCAATAAAATTTAACTCTGGATTTCTGGTAAAAGTTAGTATCTATATTTTTTTAAAAAAAATTATTTAGTATATGAAATTACATTGAACAATTTTTCAACTTATCAGTTTCTGTCACCAAAATGTTGAAAAATTGATTTAAATAATTACATTTATTGTTAAGTTAATTTATTTTGAAGGACAACATTTAAATGCAATTATGCCAATTTTGTTTCATCTACATACATTTCTAGTCAAACTTGTTTAATTTAAGTCCCTGGATAATATTGAATAGTTATCACTAGAGACTAAATTTATATACTCTTAAATTCATAAAAAAAAAAACTTAAAAATGTCTCAAAAAGCATTGAAAAAAGTACTTGAACATTATATAAAAAGAAAAAAAAATAGATGTGTTTTTTCAATGGATTTAACTTGTAATAAATTTGTTTAACATTACTAAAATGGTTAATAAAAAGTATTCTTTTTTTATAATAAATTTGATTAATAATTAAAAGAAATTATTTTGTAAGAATCATATTTGTACAACTGGAAACTTAATTTAATAAGTTAATGCCATTAGTGGAGAACTTTTGAAGTTTTCATTTTTAAGTGTTCTTTTTAGAGATTTTTAAAGCACCTCCATGCAAATATAAGAGAATATAAATCCAATCTCTAGCTATAACTCACTAAGTCCAATTTATCTGAGATAAGCTATAAAAATGTATTCAAAATCCAATATGTTCAATTTCATACAATTTTTCACAATATTGATTAAAATTGTAACAGGATTTATTTAGTTTAAAATAATTTATTATTTGTTACCATTTCTGGTATTTTAAACTTACTGTCATTAAATTGAACATTACTTAATGATCTCCCAGTAAAAATATAAAATAAATTTAAATTTCAGTATCTCAGATAATTTTGTACTTCGAAAAGTGGTTTTATCGTTAAATTTATGAACAATTATAAAGAGAAATAATTAGTGGTTAAAAGGGGGTAGTTGCTATTTAATAAAAAAAAAGTTGTAATGCACATAAGCATAACTAATAAAAAATGCTGAATGCATGAAAATGTATAATACTAAAATTAACCACTAAAAATACAAAATTAAAATTAAAATTAATTAGTGTAGACACACTATATATACTATATATATACTCTAAGTTCTTATTATATAGGCCTATAGTACTAACCACTAAATATATTTTAGTTACTTATTCTTTAAGGATGGAAAATGTCGGAGTATTTTTTTAGTATTAAAATAGCACCATATATCATCATTACCAGACGTCTGCTAGGAGGTTTTATTAAGTTCAATAGGTCCCTCTGAGTGAGCATTAAAAATGCAGCGCCATTTATATCCTACAAAAAACAAAGTTTATCAAAAATTGTATGCAAATAAATAAAATAAAAATATATGTATAGGTACCTCATTTATGAATTTTCCAAACATGTTAGCTTGTTCAGCATCATTATAATTGGTGTAATTTATTGGAGATGAAACTTTAACTAATTGTTTCAGATACACAATTACTTCTTTAACAGACCATTTACGTACATCAATAGTACCAAACATTGGCATGCTACTCACAACACTTTCTGTAATCCAAAATGCATCTTTGGTCGATAGTTTTAAAATTTTCAACTCGGCTTCCAAAACAGAGAAATATATATCCGAATTCAAACACAAATCAGCAGGCACAATGTCATCAATAAATGAATTTTCAAAACCAGTACATTCAGATTCATATGCTAGAAAGAAAAATAAATATTTGTATAAAAGCGAACACATAATTGACACAAAAAGTTGGCCAACTGTTGTAGGTGGGAAGTAAAGAACAAAGGATATATAGGATAATTTAGTTTATATCTGTTTGCAATGACAAATAATTAATAATTAAACAAATATCTATTTGATAAGAGTTTGGTTAAACATTTCATAATAAATTTAAATATATAATTGTATTAATCAATGATTACAAAATGAATTACAATTGTATGTGTTTTTAACAAATTTTAACATACAATTAAACTTAAAAGCTGTTAAATTAAATTTTTATCTATATAAAACAAAAAGAGATATTAGTAACTTAAAAATGCCCAAATATTTTGAAAAGTATAGTCTAGTGCAGTGGTATTCAACTTGAGGGTCACGAGTGATAGTTAGGAAGTCCCAAAACCATAAGTATCATGTATACCAGTGGTAACCAAATTTTTTTGGTAGAGATCTACTAAAAATAAATTTTTACCTTAGTAGATTAACTTCTAAAGAAAAAAAAAAATTATAATATTTTAATAATTAACATGCATTTACAAATAATAAAAACTAAAATGTTTAGTCAAATAATGTTTTTCAGTAGACTTTTGTTAGGACTTCAATATAGTATTTTAAATAAAATAAACAAAAAATAAATTTGAAAAACTGTTGAACTGTATTAATTGATTAACAAATGATTTAATATGATTCAAATGCTCATTAATTATTTATCTACAATCTACTAATTGTATAAAAATAAATTTTAACAATAGGTAAAATAATGAGGACAGGTGTAGCCACTGGTGCTTACGAAAACACGATTCTGAGTGGAGTTCAGTTGATATTGATGCTTTGTCAACAATATAGAATGTTATATTATAATAAAATAATTCAATAGGCTTTATATATTTTCTTTAATAAAATTTGTTTAATGTTGTACCGATTTTCCCAGTTTTCCTATGTTTTTCATATTTGCTGGGAAGACTTTTAGGAAAATCAAAAAATGACCTTTCTAAAGTACCTTCCTAGTGAAATTTCGTTTTAGAAATATTGATACCAATAAAATTTGGAGCAAAATTGCTGGCAGAAAAGTTGTGTTCAGATAAAAAATAAAATAAAAAAATAAACATCTTTGTGAAACCACAAGATTTTTCACTCCACTCAGAATCTAAAAGTGAGATCAACATTGATATTGTCCGCAATCTACCAGTTTATTGTTTAGCCGTTCCTGATATATACTATATATTGTATTATTCAAGTTCTGTTAAAGGATCTAGGGTTTAGTTAGTTTTGTTTTTTTCAAGTATTTTTAAATCAAATTTAAATTCTGAACCGAGCAAAAAATATATTGGTTTTATGTATTGATAATATTTATTATTATTTTTATTTTTCTATCTTGCTCTAATTTTCAAGTGTAGCAATTTTCTAAAAAGAAATTTTCCTAAGGTGGTTCTTTAGGGAGGTAGGTAGGTCATTTATTGATTTTTCAAAACAGTTGAATTAACAGTAAAATTTACAAAAGTAATTAGAGCAGAAACCTTGTGTGTTTTTTATAGATGTGGTTTAATTTTTAAAATATTTGAGCCATTTTTAGACATTTTAATATTGCAAGTTCTTTTACATAATATTTATTTGGTAGGTACTTGGTAAATACACCACATTTTTATATAAAAATTATAATATTATATTTTGACAAAAATCATGATTGTTAAAAGAAAAAAAATGCCTTTTAAAAAATGAATAACTGAACTCTGATCTGAATTGGTTTTTTTTAGCAATGATTAATTGTTGCACACAAAAATACTTTAAATTTTCCTCTATATTATACTTTCCCAACTTTTCACCTACAACAGTGGCCCACCTATTGCGGGAAAAATGTTAGTTTTTTTTTTAATGTGTATAAACTATTTTTAAAATATTAAATTACACATAGGATTGACTAATAACAGTAAAATATATTTTCTCATGGTCCTAAATTCCAAATTAAACTTGATGTCCCAATTTTTAATAACCATTTATGATATCATTTATTTGTTTAATAACAATTATAATTTATTTTTATATTGTAAAAGTATACATTATTTATGTTTACCAGTAAATTTTTTTTTTTTGATATTTTAGCTATTGTTTTTCTTTTGATTTATATTTTTTATTTATTATTTTTGAAAAGAAGTTAAAATCAGTTAAATAGGTAGAAAATGTCATGAATCACTTGATTAATACTACTGAAAAGTTGTTTAGTAACCAAAAAAAAAAAAATCTAACATACAATAAAACCAATGTATTCCTCACTACCCTCTGAATCTATAATATTCTCAGTGTTAATGACATATGTTATAGTTTTAATCAAAATAAAAGTATAACATTTTTAATTTTAGTTATTATTTGCATGTAGCATGGAACGCCAATGGGCTAGTACAGCATAAATTAGAACTTGATAACTTTTTAAATACTGAAAATATCAACATTGCCCTTATATCTGAAATACACTTCACATCGTGAACTATTCTAAAACTACAAAATGTATACAACTCTACATCTGAGTGATAGAGCATGCGAAGGTACAGCTGTAGTCATAAGAGAAACTATAAAACACTTCAAACTTGAAGAATATTCAGAACTGCACATACAAGCCACAAGTGTTTGTGTTAAAGATGAAAACCATGACCTCACGGTCACACATATTTATTGTCCACCCCAAGGAGATGCAGATGAAACTAGATTCAATTCAATATTCCAAACGCTAAGAGACAGGTTTAATGCTGGTGGTGACTACAACACCAAGCACTCTCACTAGGGATCAAAACTGATCACTCCGAAAGGACGCGCTCTACTAAAAGTAACTTATAGTATAAACGCTGATATAATTTCTACCAGAGAGCCAACCTATTGGCCAACCGTTTCTAGGAAAATCCCCGATCTGTTTGACTTCTTCGTAATTAAAGGTATTTCCTCCAATTATGTTGAAGCTGAAGAACTAATAGAGCTAACATCCGATCACATTTTTGTGTTATTATCATTGAGTTCAAATGTAATTATGAAAAAACAAAAACATTTTCTAACAAACATACAGACTGCGATCTTTATAGAATTACTTTTGAAAAATCTATCTCTCTTGATGTGCGGCTACAATCGTCAACTGACATTGAATTGTCAGTACAAAAACTAACTCATAATATTGTTAAAGCAGCAAAAACTTCAACACCCAAAGCTCACAAAGGGAATGACCTTCAGTTCACCTACCCGAAGGAAATCAGAGATCTTGTTCAACAAAAGCGGCGAGCAAGAGGAATCTGCCACAGAACTCTGCACCCATCCGATAAAATCGAATCAGCAAATTGCTACACAATAAAATCAAAAAAATAAAAAATGAAATGTTTAAATCGTATTTTTATGGCTTATCTGCAACAGAAGATTCTGATTACTTGTTATCGATAGCCACAAGACAATTAAAAAGACCTTGCGTCCATATACCACCCATCCGAAAGGAAGATGGAACTTGGGCGCATAGCGAACAGAATAAAGCTGAAGTATCGACATCTTGAACGTGTATTTTAGCCAAATGACATCCTTCTAAACTTGACAACAAGCAATACCAGCCACTAAATTCTACAAAAGAATTCACTTTGCACCGAAGTGGTTCATGAAATCGACACCAACATCAACACGAAAAAGGCATCTGAGTTCGATGAGATCAATTCCACATATCCTTAAAGAGCTACTTAAGAAGACAATTATCCATCTTACCAACATATAAAACGCCATCATTCGAATAGAATTTGAAAGCAATGGAAAAAATCAGAGGTAATCATGTTGCTCAAACCCGGAAAACCAACTGAACAAGCCTCCTCCTATCGACCGATATCGCTTCTACCATGAATGTCAAAACTATTTGAAAAACTTCTTCTTAAGCATCTCAACTCAATTATTAAAACAAAGCAACTTATACCAAATTACTAGTTTTGATTTCGTATAAAATACTTGACCATCGACCAAGTTCATCGCATAAGGAACGTATGTGATTAGTAAGGCGTAAGAAGAGAAAAATTATTGTTGTGGATTATTCCTGAATGTAGCCCAAGCCTTTGACAAAGTTTGGCACAAAGGCCTATTGTTAAAACTAGGCGAGCAGCTTCCGCACATGGTGCACACTCCTCAAATCATATCTGACTGAAAGACATTTTCGCGTTAGATACGAAGGAACGATAACTAATTGGAAGAGTATATCAGCTAGAGTACCTCAAGGTAGTATTCTTTGACCTATTTTGTACTAACTCTATACAGCTGATATTCCAACTAACGACAATACAATGATAGCTATGTTTACACAACAATACTATCAACAAGAAAGGACCAACAAGCTGTGACTGAGATCCTATAAACTTAAGCAGCAAATGTCTCTTGTATGTATCGATTGTTAAACCGATTTGGATTTATGGTATTCAACTGTGGGGTTATCTCAGTAAGTCCAATATCAGAATAATACAACGATATCAGAGCATTGCTCTTCAGACCATTGTCGCAGCATATCAGTATGATAATAGAACAACACCATCCACCGCAATTTGAAAATTTCATCCATGCAGGATGAAATTACCTGGTTTCCTCGCAAACAGGCAAGAAGACTAGAGCTTCAAACAAATACAACTCCTTGACACAACTCGCAAGACATCAGACGATTCAAAGAACTGAAGCCATTTGACTTAATCTAATTTTGATTAAGCATGGTGTTGTTTCACTGGAAGTAAAACCTTGCACGCGCTTTGTATGTATATATATATATATTGAATTGTATGTATTAATACTTCTACTGATTTGTATTTATAAAGATTCTTTTATCGTTTAAATAAAAATGCATCTATGGCAATTTAAAAAAAAAAGTTATTATTTACAATGTTTGATGTAAAAATAAAAATAAAAATGTAATGTGTGAAGACTTTATCCTTCATGTTTCTTACTTTCAATTAATTTTGTATAATAAACTGCAATGTATTTTTTTAAAATCAAAATAGCTCCATATATCATTAATATTTGACGTCTTTTGGGTGGTTTTACCGTGGCCAATAGATCAGTCAAACTAAGTGCCAAAAATGCTTCACCATTTATATCCTATACAAAACAAAGAAGTTTATTAAAAATTCTATAAAAATACAAAAAAATGAAAATAATTGATATCTACTTTAGTTTTAAAATTTTCAAAGGTTTGTTTTTTAGGATAACTATAATTGTAGTAGTTTATTGGAGATGAAAGTAGAACAAATTTATCAAGATAAAGAACGACATCATCTGCAGTCCATTTGCGTATATCTGTGTTACCAAAGGGTATGGCACACAAAGCACTTTCCGTAATCCAAAATTTATCTTTGTCTGATAGGCGCCAAGTGTTTAAATTAATTTCCAAAACAGATAAATAGACGTCAAAAGTTTTACCCAAATACTCATATGAGCTGTAACAGTTATATTTTTAATCACAGATATATTTTAAATATAATCAAATTATAATACAACCTGAAATCTGTACTATTAGTTGCATCATTCTCAAGAAAAGGATACACCAAGGGATCAGAGTAAAATGTTGATGAGATCTGCATTTGATTTTCCAAATTTCTTTGTTCAATTTCTTGTTCTTTTAGTATACATGAAATTTAAAATAATTTAATATTACACATTAATTTTACTGAATCAAAATGTTACTACAATAAAAACATATTTTTATTTTTAACTTTACCATTATTTTCCAAAAATGTCTCCACTTTTTCTGGCAATGTTTGAACCTCCATGGGATGTTCTTCCATTGCATTACTCATCTGATTATTATAAAAAATAGTAAATTTATTAATAACAACTTAATAAAAATTCAAAAATGCATAATTTTATTAGAAAATACTTCATAATCTGCAGTAGTATAACTGGTTGAAGGATGACCGTTATTTTTAATCATTTTGATTTGTGATTCTTTGGCAAGTATAATATACAATTGTATACCAATTAAACAGCTTCAGTATAAATGGTTTGAACTAAATAAATGTTTAGTATTTCACCTAAAAAAAAAAATATATAGGTGAAAAAGTTTATGGAAGATAATTTAAAAAAATAAAAAATAATAATTCAGTGGCATGGCTATAAACTAAAACGCCCTGAATCAAAATATTTTGTTTGCTCCATAATATAATGTTACTAAAACAATTTTGCTACAGTATTTTTTACTAAGTATTAATAGTATTATGTATAACCCATGATATGCCTCTGTTGCTATTTTTTTTTTTTTATATCAACCTTAATCATTTTTTAATAATTTAATTAAAACATGATGCATTAATTTCTATGTATCAATTAGATTATTCGCATGGTGTTGGTAAATCCAATAATAGAGTACAACAAACATTAATTTGATAAATATTGTCATATACTAAGTATACTAAGGTCTATTCTTACAATACCTGGTTAGAGATAACCAGCATTTAAATTTGTCGCAAAAAATTCTATCAGTTCACTCACAATTAATGCTAACCAACACTTCCCTAGACATTATAAGAACCAGATTACTACTAATAATAATTTATTTATCATTATAAACTGAATTTATTAGAATGCCTAATACATTAAATGTATACATTTATGAAACAAATCTAGTTTAGCGTTCACACATATTTTTCAATTTTTTTTCCAAACTCAGAAATTTCAACGTAATAAAAATTATAATAAAAAAAAAAAAATAAAAATAGCAGAAGGCAGTTTTCAAGTAATACAGTTTGAAAATTGACACTTTGTATTTCTATAATATATATCTGGTTATACGTATAATTGAAGACTGGATTTTTGTACAGCTAACACTTAAAAAATGAGCAATTAAAATGCTGAAATGTGCAAAAATAAATTTGTATTGGTAATTAATAATTACATTATTAGTTTTATGAAAGTTACTTCAAATTTTATTTCTATTGCTGTTTATTTTTTATAATATTATTAATTATTCGTAAGTATTTATAATATTTGATTAAAATGTATTAACATATATATATCTAAGTTTTTTTTCTGTAAAATTATGTCTCCTGTCACTTAATATGTGAAAACACACATTCTATATCAAACTTGTTGTTGGGCATTATTTGTATTATGTTATATTGATATATATATATATAAGTCCAATACTTCATATAACAACATAATATAACATAATGTTCCAATTTACAAGACCTCCTATGGCCACAATCATACTCTGCATCAAATGTTCAGAGGAGTTGCAAATAACAATTAATCCTTAGGCAACATATTTCACTTTTATAAATCCAGCTAACTATAATATATATATATTAATTATTAATGCCCCTTAAATTGTTTCTATTTTTTTTTTTTACTTATGTGTGTTACCATAATTGTTACACTACGTAAAATTGCCGTTTGGCGTTTATAAACAATAATAATAATAAAGCAATGATAAAGTAACATAAATTACAAAATACTATCTATTAATAATAGATATTATTATAAATTATGGCATACAAAAGTACTAATTAGTACATTGTTTTAAAAAAAACGTCTTGATGTTTCTATAAGATTTATAACTTGCCATAAAAAAATACAATTGCATGGAAATCCGATTTTTACACATACAATTATTCCATAAAATTAAAATATCCCACAATTAGAAAACAAATGCATTTTGGTTGCACCTAGAAACCCGGCCAGGTCACTTGGTCTTTATAGTTGCTCAGATAGTTTAACACGAACTGTAACATGAGTTGAATTGGGCGACCCCCCCCCGTTTTGTTGATCCAAAAGATTCTAAGTATCGATATTATAAAAATAGCCAGAATTCCAAATGATGACTAATTTAACAATATAAGAGGTTTTACTTAAGGCAGAAGAACAAATGACTTGTTAAAAGTCTGATACTATTGGGAGAGTTAAGAAAATAATGACAAGGTGTCGACGCCCACTGCAGAGATTGAATATATTTTGTCGACAACATATTGACATCAGTGCTCAGTATTAAAACAAAAATATTAATCAATATGCTAGGCAACATCACCTCAAGTAGGCCTTTGAATAAAAAAATAAATTTTACAAGGAAAATTATTTTTAATAATTATTATTGTATGAGATACCAATCAAAACATTTAAAACTTAAAAAAACATAGAATGCATTAAAAAGTAAGCCTTCAAGAAATGAGAACTAGGGACCTCTGAAATGACAATGGGTGACAATAGGTATGTATCACCACTAGGCTACAACAACCAATATTCGAAAAGTGCAATATTGTGTTATTTAACATAACACATATAATATTTACAATGTTAGGGATACTTTACTTTAGTATACATGATAGATTCCAGTGTATACTAAATTCAGTATTAATTCAAAAACTAAGTTTGATTGCCTAATTATAATTGCACAATAATTATCACAATAAAAATTACATTTGTTGATAAAAATAAGTTGGAAAATGCGTGGCTACTAAACTAGAATTATATCACATTTAGATTAGTGACATATTTATAATTAAATGAAAACTGAAGTAAAATTGAATTTTGAATTACTTAACTTATCTAATCTAATAATTTGGTTCATTACCATATTCTAATATATACCTACCCAGCATTAAGTTTTAATTATTAAATTATCAAATCAAAAACTGTTGTATAATACTAAGATCATATTACTAAAGTACAGTAGAACTTCGATTATCCTAATTGGGACCGCGCCTAGTTCGAATACTGGAAATTGTTTAAAATAACAATTTTTTTTTTTAAAAACATACATTTAAAACATCACAAAGTACATATCATGTACATAGTTTATGATATTACAAACAACGTGTATTGTTGTTTAAAAGCCTTAGATTGCGTCTCGATTATCTACTAACGATTACATACATACATGTACATACATAAATTATGTATGATTTATATATATAATATATGTAAATATATATACTAAAATTTTGGTAATTTATTAATAACAATTATAAAATCTGTGCCGCGGATGTACGAGTACTTCAACGAAACACTAATTGTAGTTCAGATAATAGAGAGTTCGTATATGGAGGTTCAAATAATCAAGATTCAACTGTATATAGTTTTGCTTGTATATTGTAATCTGATGAAGTATAATTTGAAAACTGTACATGAATGGTAATGGGAAATATTTGAGCAGTTGTAGATAGTACATTATTTGACAGTAATAGAAGATGTGTGGCTGTCTTTAACTACACTGTATGCATTTTTACTGAAATCATGTGTAAGTAGCTTTGTTAACTTTTTAAAAAAAGTGTATACTTTTAGTATAAACGGTGTAGGTAAATAAAACGTAAAATAAAGTAGCAATTAAATTGCTAAACGAATAGTGTGTGCGGGACTGATTTTATTGAATGCACCGATGTCTCAAAACAAAATATTAGTACAAAACAATATTTCAACTTACATATTACATAAACATTGATCGTTCAAATCCTTGACCTCCGTGCACGAAAAAACTGAGATACGATGTGAAAATGAGCAGGCAAATTCCTTATTACAATATAATATTGTTACTAACACACACAAAAGTAAAATGTACGCGAATGAAATATCAATAACATATGTAACTTGCATTAGTATAGAAAACAAGATGTCTTCTTTCATACAAAAAAATGTACAATAGGTGTTTCATTCAGTGGTAATATATTCACAATTATTGTACACAATTTACTGGGGGCGTTCGCTTTTGATGATTGGACAGACTGCAGTGGTAGACGCTACACTTGTTTATAACACTACCACGGTAACAACCATAGTTGTTGATCTCCCTTTAACCTATAAGCTATCAAATAAACTCGAACTCAGGTATATTATCTATAAACCTTGATATATTTCGTGTTACGACTATAAGATGATAACTGATAATAGTGATAATACTGTTGAAATTCACTTTAACCACAAACCTATTGCTACTAAAAATTCAATTATTTCGAATTGAAATTATAAATTATAATGTTTTCAGTAGTTCAATAAGAAAAAAAACAATGTCAAAAACTGCTCCATTGCCTATTTTTACATTGCAATGTGAAAAATACATAGCACAATGTATGCTATTTAATTTAGACTTTCATATTCTGTATGCTGGTACCCAGACTGGCGAAATACTCATCTATGACCTAGAGGTAATATTTTTTGCTAAAAAAAATTGACTATTCAATTAAATACCTAACCTATTAAAGAGAGTGTTAAAGATTATTTATTCGAACAATTTTTATAGTATGATAATTTAATTAAATTTTATTAGGTAATCTATATTTTAAATATCTTTAATTTTAATATTTTTGTTAAAAATGATTATGTTTTGTGTTTTGTTTTCAGTCAAACCGGTTAAAAAATGTAAAAAAAGCTAATACGTTATGCATATTATCCCTTGAATTATTTAAGAGTCCAAATCGATTGGTATCACAAAACAAGACTGGTGAAGTACAATTTTGGCAAATAGATGGTTTTGAACTTGTGCTTTGTTATACTTTATCAACCAATGAGATTGGATTTTGTAAACTAGCCTCATACAAAACAAACATGATATTGTGTAAAGGTGATAAATCTACAGTGAGTTGTTTTTCAACTATTACTTATAATAAAATCACTGTCATTGATCCACAACAAAATGACGATCTGGGTGACATAATGGTTATCAAATCTATTGATAGCTATGTGTTTTGCGGTTATGAAGCGAATACAATTGTTGTGTGGAAAGAGGACTGTATTATTAATATGTTAAATTTTCCAGAACTAGAATGTTTGATAGCATTAGATGTGGATTCTAATGTAACTAAAGGTATTTGTGCTGGTAGTTCAAATATGATAAACTCATTTCATATTGAAAACGATCAACTTCATTTTAAAAAAAGTATTAAGATTACAAATCCAGGTGTTAACACCTTACAAGTGAGACCTGATAATAAAATAGTTGCTGCTGCTTGTTGGGATCATATGGTAAGATTATTTTCTTGGAAGTCCATGAAACTGTTAGTGATTTTAGATTCTCATTCCACTGGAGTCTTAAATATCGTGTACTCTGAATCACGTGAAACATTTTGGAAAGCCAAATACATACTTGCCATAGCAAATAAAGACAACAGGATCACTCTATGGGATGTCTACAACTAATAAAATAGTAATCAATAATACGCTTATCAGTTGTTTATTGAAGTTAATCAGATAAAATCTGTTTTTAATGTTTAAAAATCAAAAGAATAATTGATTACTGACTTCAAAGTTCATAAACTGTAGAAATTATTAATTAGTAGTCAGTCATAATTATTGCTTTCAAATATCTTCAATTTGCTATTGCATAGTTATCAAATTAATTTTTTATATTTCAATAAATTGTAAAACCATTAAAAATATTTGAATTTATTACAGATTTCTGAAATATGAACTAAGAGTATAATTATCTTTGAAATCAATAATAAGTCATTAACAAGTTGAAAAAGGTAGTCTAAGAATTAGTTTGAGTATAAAAAAAGTTTTAGTTTGAGGTGATCTGTAACCTATCAAAAGTTAAAGTTTTCTAAGTTTTCAATAATGCCTAAAATAAAGGGAAATTTAGTAATCTAAATCATTTATTTGATTTGATATATATTTTTGTGTGTATTTAATTTAATACCTGCCTGTATTTAAAAGTATAATTTTTTAGTTTGTGATCATTTTTTATTTTATTTTTTAAATGCTTATAAATTATAATTATGATGAAAAGAATGGTTAAATACAATTTAAAATCATTAAACGAAGTCAATCTTGTGTGGCATTTTAGAAAATGTATTGATTATTTATTCAATACTTATTGTGATAATTTGGTGGACTGACAATAAAGCTAATCTTGGTGGGCAATCTTCACTGTAGCTATTTTTTAAATAGGATTTTAATTGTCTTGGTTAAAAATATCGACAGTTAGAGTGTTGCAAGTATGGATATTAAACACCAAATTTTTGGATAAAGGTCCATCGATATACAGCTTAAAGTATCTAATGTAGATTTTCAAAATTATTTTTTGGTACTGATTTTCATTTTTCCATTCACTCCAATTCTGATTTAAAAGTGTTATATGTCAATAAAAAACTTTTGTAATAATCAATACATTTTTTTAAAGTCATTGCTGCTTGGATTTAATTTATATAGAAAACTTGGAAACAAGTTTTGCAAACCAGAAATAATGTAATTGTGTTTTATAAATCTTTTAATTAATTGACTTGTAGTAGTCTAAAACTGGTAATAAAAAATAGAAGAATACTATAAGAGATATTATAGTACTCTTCTAGTAAATCTGCTGAACTATTATCGTGATGGATAAATCATCTAATTAATTCTGGTGTTTTAACTGTTTCATCTACTAAGCTTAATACATTTTCTACTTCTAAAAATAGCTTGTGAAATTCTTCCTGACTATTTTCGTGAATTGAACAAATAATTTGCACGTAGTTATTGACATATTCACAACATTTAAATAAATCTTCATTTATTTTGGTAAATATTTATATAAAGATAATATTATAGCAAATAGTTTTTCTGTAATGTATAATAAAATTGTACACTGAGGTAATAATTTTTAAAACTTGAAATGTAAGTTGTGATTTTTATAAATTATGATGATTTTCAAGTTCCCATGTGGTTGTTATTCGTAAATATAGTTCTATTAACCATAACAAATTGTCATAGGGTTCAACCCAGTGAGTTTCACACATTTTTAAAATTGTTTGGTGACATGTGCCTGGAATTAGGTTTTTTATGAACTCTTTAAAAAATAGTAGGTATAGATCCCAATATAATTTTTTATTTCTGGAATTTCACATGATTTACTAATGGCAAGGTTAAAGGTGGTGCAATTTATATATGAAGCATAAGGTATTAAATCACATATATTTTTTTTGAACTAAATTATATACATGATGATTAATCTACCATAAGACACTCATTATCTCAGAAAGTATTAACATTTTTTAGAATTTGTTTTATAGAACAATTTAAGAAACAAGCAGCTCTACAATTTCACATTTATGTTATTTTTTTGTTATACCTTTTTTTAGGGGTAAAACCACTACCTACTTTTAATTTTCAAATAGCAACCTACAATTAAAGTTCCATAAATAGCTGGTGTAGGTTTTAGTTAAAATAAATGTTGGTGTTGAAATTATTGATTTAATAATGTAACAGTAAATAGTACACAGTCATTAAGAAATAAAATACATGGTAAACATTTATATTATTACTCAATAAGTACTTCTGAAAAACTGACTAAATATAAAACTGTGGAACAATTGTAGTTATGAACCAATGAAGTCAAACAAGATAACCATAATATAAACATATATCATTTTCTAAAATTTAAGATCATGTGTAATGACTAGTGAATTGGAAATATACAAAATATGCTTAAAATATAATGTACCTAGTTGTACAATTATTTATATAATTTGTAGTTAGTCTTTATTGTTATATTATAAATATATATCTACTTTTAAAATTTCTAGGTGGAGGGTCGGTTGAACCCTGTATACAGGCTTGTTACATTTAAATTAATTTGTTTAATAAATTATATTGACAATCTGAATTATGATAACAAAGCATTAGTTAGGTACCTAATACTTATGTAAAAATAATGTTAAATTGTTTATTAATCATCTGTTTTAACGTAAGTATCTACTATAGGTAATTATACTATATCAATAACTCAAAGGATTAAGTATATATATGGATAGATAACAAAATCAAATATCTTATGAAGTATTACAGTAAAACATTAAAAATTAGTTGTATTTTTTTTTTTTTTATATATAAATTATATTTTTAATTGGACTCCATTTGTACTGATGTAAATAGATAAATAAAATTAGTTAAAATAAAACGTTGTTACGTGAATTTTCAAAAATGATAAAGAATCAATAAAGAAATCATAATCTTTAAATTCATTAGCAGAGGAGAAGAGGTGACATAAAAGGCTATTTGCAGAGTTTTTATAATAACTTATACTTATTAATTATTATATATATTGGCACAAGAAAAGTGGTGTTTGATTTCATTAAAATATTAGGGACTCTCATAAGCGCAATTAGGGGAGGCTTGGGTGTGCTTAGCGCCCTTAGTTTTAAAATTAGCACCCCTAAAAATGTGTCATGTTATTGTAAAAAAAAACATTGTACTGAAAGGAAAATGATTAAAATAATAATAATGGTTTTTATTGGTTTCTATTTGTTTTCCGAATATTCCTGTCGAATATATCAGATATTTTATTTAAACAAAAAAGGCATTAATTGAATGGTATAATTGAGGTTTTTTTTCTAGGGGCCTTCATCACTCAAATTTTTAATTGAAATTGCGACCCTAGAACTCTAAATTCTACTAGGTCAAGAAATTCAGAAAAATCTATTTGATCATCATAAACCAGTTTATGTATGAAAGCTACATTGTTAAATATAATTTAACATAACTACCCAAGTGTATGGCCTTGTAATTTTACAATTTTACAATTTTATCCACAGAGTACCTAGCAAATAAATATTACGTAAAAAAAACAAGCAAAATTAAAATGCCTTTAAATAGCTCAAATGTTTTGAAAGTCTAAAAAAACATACTTATTGTTCATGTTTTCTGTCAAAATTTCAAGTCTCTACAATTTTTTTTACTAAAACTTTTTACAAACTGAATTAAAACATAATTTATAATGATTTTCGTAAATTATCCCGAATTTTTAAGTTTTCCTCAATAGTTAAAAAGCCACAATGAAATTCAAAAAACTACTTTTAAGGTCATCAACTAAAATAAAAATTCAATAAAAAAAGTCTTGTTGTTTTTATATTGGAGCAATATTTTTTTTTAGATAACATAAACCGTAAAAATTTAAAATAATGAAATCATTGTGCCATAATTTTTGAAGAAAAAATCGTATATTTCGTTTTTTTTTGGTTTTTCCAAATTATTATGAAAAACGCTAGACATCGAAAAACGACTTTCTTTGACAGTGGTTATAATATGTTATGGAGTAAATCAGTCTCTTGTCATTTTTCGATTGGAGTAATATTTTTAGTAAAACTAAGTTAAACATATATCAATAATGAACCTGGGACGCTTACGGTTTCACAAAGATGTTTATTTTTTTATTTTATTTTTTATCTGAACACAACTTTTCTGCCAGCAATTTTGCTCCAAATTTTAATGGTAGCATTGCTTTCTAAAACGAAATTTCACTAGGAAGGTACTTTAGAAAGGTAATTTTTTGATTTTCCTAAGTCTTCCCAGCAAATATGAAAAACATAGGAAAACTGGGAAAATCGGTACAACATTAAACACATTTTATTAAAGAAAAAATATAAAGCCTATTGAATTATTTTACCATAATATAACATTCTATATTGTTGACAAAGCATCAATATCAACTGAACTCCACTCAGAATCGTGTTTTCGTAAGCAATGATTTATCGTTGCTTACAGATATATATTATATTTTCACCTACACCTGTCCTCATTATCTTACCTTTTTTCGAGTTGACTACAAGACGATTGTTTTTAATTTATACATTTTGCAAGCCAATCGGCCCCGTTTTTAACTTCTAAGTGTCCTATTCGTATGATTTAAAAAATTCATAAATATGGCACAAAAATAAACTTTATTTATACACAGTAGCATAATCAGCTCATAAACCTTCGAGAGGCTTGAGCCGCACTATAATGTTAAATAAATATAGTGGTGCAACCAAAGGGGTTTAAAAAAAATAATGCAGGGGCTTAAGATAATCAGAGGGGCTAAGCCCCATAGCCCCCTTAATTATTCCACTGTTTATTATATATATACCTTTATATGAATATGAACTAATAGGCTAACTAATATTATCTATAACATCTGCTTCATGAATAAGAATCGTACGCAATACCATATATAAAGTTGAACGTAATACTGAGCAGTTTTCAATCCATATTAGTGAAAAGCCTCCAAATTAACTTATTTAAAACCACAAGATAAACTAGTAAAATAATGGAAAATACAAGTATGTTTGTACCTTAATGATTTTCATCCACTCCGGCCAGTAATTTCAGTTGATTTTTTGGAATTTTCGAAAAAACGTCGAGCCGTGTTTTCGTCATTCATTATACTTAATCCTGGCTTAACAATATCTATTAATAAGTCTATTTCTCTTATAATCTAAAACGATTAACTTTTTTTTTTTTCAATTATTTTATTTTTCAACCAACAAAATTGGGCAAAAAAGATAAATATGTTGTAAGTCTACACGTTCATAAAATGCAATGTATATCTTTAAACTGCTAAACCTGGTAAAATGTTTAAACAAATTACTAAAATAAGATTCAAATCGTCTTTGATATGATATGATATTTGATAATTGAATACATTATACTCAGATTGTAGTCCCAATCAAGTGTAAATGCATATAAATCGTAAGAATACATACATACATACATATATATATACAAAAAAATTATTACAATGTGTATAAATTGTTATCTATAAGATAGATGATACTTATTCTATTTCAAATAAATAAAATGCGGTTTTTAATTTCCGTGTTTATGACTATATTTATTTTTCTATAATGTAACTTTACTTTGTCGATATTTATAATAATTAATATCGTTAATTTATGAATAATTAGGCACACAAAAATATATATATTTGGCATTTTCAACAACTTCCTTTAATTTATTTTTTTGATTTTTGTCCACCTAGAAACCGAAATTCAACCACTATGCACGTAAAATAGGTAGGATTTGTCAGTTTTTCCTGTACACTTTTTTCCAATAATTTTGAAAACTATCGGAAAATCAAAAAATAACATCTTTAATGCCCCAACTAGATACGAAAAGTAAAAAAAAGTTTTACCATTTGTCAAATGGACCAAAATTTCTGATAGGAAAATTGCTCATTGGTACAAAAAAAAATAAACTTATAGTAAAACCAGCAGATCCAATCCCAGATCGCTACACAAAGAATCTAAAATATATACTTATATCAGTGTATAAAATTAACACAAAATACAAATTTGTAAAAAAACTAAATAATAATAATTGAAAAAAAATTTTACCATATACCTATATTTTTTCTTTTTTTCTTTGCGGTGGCGTATTAAATCGTTATTATTTAGTGCTTGGAGAATTTTCAATCAATAATTATGTCTTATGTACGTACCTATATTAATAGGCACCTATACGTTTTAAAAATGATAACTTATAATAATATTTACGCTGCAAACCGTCGTTGTGTAGCTGTAAGTGGGACTGGTACGATCAAAAACAAAGAACGCTCTGATCGAGAGTTGCCAGTAATAGTCTTTTATAATATTATATTATTAAAATACCTATCTTTTAGGGGGAATCGACAATTTTCTCCTCCCTGGTTTCTGTACGGATAATGGCCATACTATTTCGGTTAAATATTATATTATTCGCGTAGGTTGGTAGATTTAATTATACAATAGTTATTATCATTATTGTTATTATTATTTGGATATACACATAACAAATTATAAATTGGTGTCCAATTCAATTAATCTTAAAAGTATAATTATTAGCCCGGCCAGTCCCTTTTCACACTTGTCTGAGCATATTATAATGTGTGACTAAATATATTTAAAGAGTCTGGTATGATTATACAATTTAATCAATTAATCAATTTTAATAATTTTCAAAAAAAAAAATATTAAAAATAAATCTTACATTTTAAACTATTCAAATTCGTTTTGTTTTTAGTAAATTTATTTTTAAGAATTTTACTTTTATTATGAACAATAAACAATCAGTACTGTGATTTATCTAGTAGTAAGATAATAATTATTCAAAATATTGTATTCAATGGGATCATCAATAATTATGTAATTGTTGGAATAGAATTTTTAAGAAAAGAAAATATTTATGATACACTTTGTGACTGATTTCTGGGTATACATAAAGTATCGAAGTTATCAGAAAGTAAATCGTGATCTCTAAACAAAATATGTTATTTATAAATTAGATGATGTTTATTTTGTATTTTCTCGTCTTCATTCTGAAGAAGAAGATAGAATTTCTTGAAAAATCTATCTACTTAAATTATTTTTTTATTATTTATTAGTTTTTTTTTTTTTTTATTAATTGACGTGTCTAATTTATGTCTACTTCAGTTTATAATACCAATATTAATACACCTAATCAAATTGTTTATTAATTTTTAGCATTGTTTTTAATTATTCTAAATATCTTATAACGGAGTTTGAAGATGGTCTTCAAGTAATTCCAAAAAATTAGCTCATAAAAGAAAAACAAACCAAGTACCCACCAGTCATGAATATTTTAAAGTACCTATGACAAAATACAAAACGTATGAACCTTCAATGTCATGGAACAATGTTAATTTTATCAGAGTATTATCTTCTTATGGTCGGTATTTTTAGTTATATTATAAATGGATTATCATTATCATATGCATAAATTGATGATTTTATTAGATTCCAGATGATTTTTTGAAAGTAAATCGAAAATTGAGGGAGGCGGAGTATAAAGTAGATTTAGAAAGTGATGCAGATGTAGCAAAAATATTCAGAAAAATAAAAGCCGCTAGAGTAAAATTAGATTCTGATTAGATTTTTGAAATTCAAAAAGAACCGCAAGTCTACAATCTCCATTTGTACCTCCTCAATTGAAATTCAGTAAGTTTTTTTTTTATGAAATATGCAATATTTTACTAATTTTCTGTAATTTGTTATGTACTTAATTATTTGTAGTAAAACTTATCAGCAATAAAAATTTATCTACACTAACACAATTAAAATCTGGTAATTTAATGAATTATTAGTAATATTATTATAATATTGATTAACAATATTTTAACTATCATAATAGGTACCTATAAGACATTATTTTTTTATTTCTTAATTATTTTAATTGTTTAGGATAAAATGATATTAGCTATAATGATACTAATAGTATAGACATATTTCAGAAAAGTCTTTACTTAATCGAAGCATTTTTTGATGGTGAAGTGTTTCTTACCTCTGCTCAATCAGAAAGCATTCAAATAAATGGTTAGTTAAGTTTAGTTATTATGTATTTTTTTCATGGTATAAGTAATTATTTTTATTATTCAAGAGAATAAACCTATAGGAAAACTTTTTTGCCTACTATGCCCATAAAAATATGAGTGTTGAGAACTTAGTTGGAAAAGGTTATTAATCAGTATTTTGTTTTGTTTGTTATTTATTATGGCAAAATATTTTAAAATATTTGTATAAAACACTGGTTTGAACAATAAGTATTTATCAAGTCTGGTTACAGTTAAATATTTATTATAATATATTAATAGTTATTATTTTCTTTATATATGTCAATTATATGTCAAATATTTGAATTTATGTCTGCTAATATTTTTGATTAAATATTGTTAAAAAATATACATTAACATTTTTAATTGCAAATACATTGGTAATAATTATAGGTACCTAGTGATTAGGAGGTAGTCTATTGGTTAAAATGCAGTCTTTTTGGTTTCTAAAAGGTCATTTGATTTCTAAGGTGATGTTTGTTAGTAATTAAATGGTAATAAAAGGGTAAGCTGTTGGTTGGAACAAATAATGGTACAAATAAGGTAAAATAGATAAAATAAAATAAAACAAATTAAGACACTTAAATTGAGATTATTATGAAATTGGAACTTATTTATCTTGATTTTGATAAGAATGAGATACCATATACATACTGAAATTGTCAAAGTTAAATGATCTATGGTTTAATTGTAATACAAATTTGTACCAACTTTATATTTCATATTTGCAATGTCCAAAAGAGTGAGCTCAGTCTGCAATATCCTATTTATTGAACAATGAATATCTCTAATTAATTTTAAGCAGTTTTAACCAAGATTCTTATAGAGATTATAAATTTCTAGCCCACATCAATCGTAGATTAGGTTCAATAATTAGTATTATTTTGTTTACGTACTTTTGAGTACATGAGAAATTGTCTGTATTGAAAAATACAATTGTATATGAATAAATTCTCTATATATGTAGGAATTATTGAGAAATATGTAAAAATATGTGAAATCAAATATAGTCAATTTCATTGAGAATCACTTAACTCTTAATCACTTACATAAATTAATTTATTAAGTCTCAGTAGAAATATGTATTTACATATAAATAATAAAATAAAGTATGTCCTATGTACACCCTAGCAAGACTAATCCCTGGAGGCAGATATTTGGGTATCCATTTGACATCGTATGGACGGCTTTTCTAAATTTCCCACTGCCCTATAAGGACATACAGTGGTGGTCTGATGGATGACTTTGTGCTATTAGAGCCTGTAAGTAACGATAAACCATTGCTAACAAAAAACTGATTCAGAGCAGAGTTCAGTTAATAGTGATGTTTTATCAACAATATATATGTTATTATAAGTCTAAATAATCAATAAAATCAAATAGGTGACAAGTTATATTATATTAGTAGTATAGGGAATGTAAATTATTTATTATTTTCTATATTATACTACAATATCAAGTGTAATAACTCTTATCATAATTTTTAGTGGTGTTCTATGTAGAATAGGTAGATGATATATATATTTAACTTATATATAGGTAAATAATGATAAAAATACAAATGCCTAGGAAAGTATATTTTAACCATATGTTATTATTTATATTGATACAAATTTTAAAATGTAGATAATTATTTATTTCATGCTTTCTTCTAAACAATCTACTTATAATATCTAGCTATAATACTACAATAAATAACCTAAAAATATAAAATTGAAATAAATAAGTTATAAGTACGTTACTAATACATCTTCAAACATCCATTAAAAAAATTATTATCATCCAGATATTTATTATTATAGCCATTATTTTCATTATAATAAAAAGTAATTAGTATACAATTTAACAAAAGTTGCAATTTGAAAAATAAATGCGAGTGTCTTCACCCATTAAAATAAGGTTGACAAAAAATTACTATTATCAAATTATTGATTTTATAATATGCATATTATTAATTATAAATTCTTAAATGTAACATTTTATTGTTACTAGTTTCTTAAATTTAAAAAAAAAAACAAATTTCCGAAAAAGTTAATAGTTTCAAAGATAATGAGTCTTTCTGGATCATGCTAATCTAGTGTAGTGTAATGTGATATTTATATATTATCGAACAGAATAATATTATAATATATAATTCAAAATAAATACATAATAGGAATTTCCACTTAGAGAAACTAAGTAGTTATTAAAAAATATTGTTATTTTATTTTATAAATCCTACAATTTCACTCCAATAAAATGCACTGTATTCCCTTTTTTTTTTTTTGAGTAGCTAACTCAACATTCGTACATATTATATGTTTAATGGTTCAATTAAATATTAAAAACTAGTGGCTAACTTAAAAATTAAGTTTGCACATTCAAAATTATTAAGCTAAAGAATATTAAAATATTATATAAAAATGAATATCTTAATTTATTATAAAAGTTAATACATTTATATTATAATAGGTAAAATTGTTATGTGAATGGATGAATGCAGTAATGGAATAAAATCACTATTATAAATATTAAAGTTATACATTTATAGTTTTATAATAGCATTGTATATAAATAAAAAAGTTAATAATAATAATTTTTAAACAGTTACACTATTTTACATAATATAAATAAATAAAAAAAAAAATCTTAAATATAGATAGTGAAAAATTTCAGCAGTCTGTTTTTATCCTTCTTATGAATTTACATGATTTTTAAAGTGTATAATTGTCTTTACAGCTAACCGCAACATCTTTAACTTACGACCATAAGGATGAGCTGGATAGTATTTGATAAATTTATCTATACTGTTGTTCATTTTAATTAACACTTTGTTGATTGTTTCCCTATGTGAATCATTTGAATAATCCAAATAGGATACAGCAGCTTCCAAATACCTTTAAAACCGCATTATGATTATAAATCAAATAAATAATAATATAATTATTACAGATTATAAAAAGGAAATATTTACGCATGCTTCAGTTCTGTGTTCTTTACTAAATCATGTGATAACTGTTGAACCAATGATAGGACAATGGGTATACCCAGCATGCTTGATTGATGGAAAAAATCTTCTGGGTGTATTTTTTCACACACAAATATCACTAAATCTAAATTTGAAGCACATAATGCCTGAGAAATAAAAGAAAATGCATTAAATACAATTTTAACTAAGATTGTATGCAAATTTTTAAAGACCAGAGTTCTCATGGTACATAGTTCAGTAAGCCATATGCCTGGTGGGTACTTACTACATACCTTCACGAACACACCTAAATATGGGTTCATTCAGTTGGATCAATTTTGCATTATTAGTGAGAAATACATTACGTTTTTAGTAATTTAATGTTTAAGCTTTAAATTATGATATATCACACTTATATGTGCTTAAAAATTATTAAAATACCAAAAAATCATGTTATAATCTTAGATAATGTTTTGTTCCTTTAAATTTATATTAAAACTACTATCAAAAAACTGATTTTCTGAACAAAAAATTACTGTTAAGTGTTTGAAAAAAGGTTAAGATGTTTAAAACATCTAAATTAATCAAATACACTGTTCTTTTAAAACACAAGATTAAAAAAAAAAAAAAAAATACAATTTTATTTGTGATATTAGATAGATATAAAGAATAAGTAATAAAATAATATTTTATGTCGCATATTCATATCATTTAAAGTGGAAAAATATAAATATTTTAATTGATTATCTAAATTAACAATTCAGTTTTATACATTTAAATTTTTAAGTACAATATTTTTCTAGTAGTTAACTTAATCTTACTTTGTTTAATATTTATGCAATAGCCAAAATATTGTATTATTATTAGTTATTCTTTATTATAAACTAAATCAGAGATTGTTTATAGAATTTTAGTAGTTTCAGATACTCAAGATTTATCATTGTATTTAATATTTAATATATTAGATGGTGTAAATTATATTGATGTGGTTTCATTTTTACTCTGAGGAATAATTCTAATAGCTTTATGTTTTATAAACCAACATTTTTAGCCAATAATTTAATTTACTTTTAGATTCTGAGTGAACCAAAGAAGCTTATGGTTTTACAAAGATGTTTTTATATATATTTTTTTTTAATCTGTATGCAACTTCTCTACCAGAAATATTGCTGATTTTTAAGTGTAGTAACTTTTCTAAAAGGAAATTGGACCAGGGAGGTACTTCAGGGAGGTTATTTTCTTCTGAGGTAGAGTATAGAAATGATTTATCTAACATCCACATGAGATGGATAAAAATGTGTTCGTAGACAGAAATAAAAAAAAACACACCATAAGTAAAATTAATTATAAAATATGGTTTACTTTTTCGAAAGCACCAATGACATCCCCACGATCCAAAATTTCTGATAGCATCAAATATTGATTTACAACTGGTTCAGAGTCCTTAACATAGCTTTCTACATGTGACAATGTTTTTTCTTTTATTAAACCAGCAAAATGTTCCTGCATTTCCGTTTGAGCACTATTTAACAAATATATTTTAGTAGAAAGTTAAAGTTTAACCTTATAATTAATGTGAATTACTTTAAAATTTTTTTTTCGCTTAGTTTTATAATGCCAGTCATATCATCTGTGAACTTGTCAAAAGCATATTCTAATTTATTATTGATATTACCTTCTTCGTTTAAGACTAGCTTCAATTCATTTTGATCTAAATTGCAGGTAAAAATTCATTTTAAAATGTTGGAATAAAAGTTAAACAAAAATATTTATAAAAAAAAAAAAAAAAAAACCTAACTTACATTCTAGCGATCTTTCAGTAAGATGCGTAAGATGTGTAATATGTGTATCAATTTGGCTAAACATGGAAACACAGGCTTGTTCAAACTTTGGTATAACTGTGCTCATAAAAAGATCTTTCAAAATTGCATCCAGAGTTGGACTTAATGAAGCAACTAAAGACCTGGTGACTAATTCTGTGTTGATCTAAATATAAATTAAATTAGTTACATAATAATTATATCATATAGCATTAGTTATACATAATTTATGGATACTATTTAATGCATAAAATTATAAACAGAACTAAACCTTAGTAAAACTAAGGCTCATTCTCACCAAAGTAAACGTTAATTTTTAACTGAGTTTATAAGATAATATAGATCAGGGATGACAAATAGGATTTTTTCAACGTGCAAATTTAAGGCATAAATAAAAAAATTTTTTTAGCTGTGCCATAATAATTTTTATTAACACAGAAAAATACAAATGAAAAATATAAATGAAAAATTAATGATTATCATGTAGAAAATTGTGTAAAAATGGAAATAATACGTATAAAAAAATTATTTAATTATTATTATTATTTGTTGGAAATCTTTTGCTTCATATTGGTTGTAAGCTTTTTTAAGTCTAGTTGATATGATGTTGATTGCAAGGAAATACATGCTGCCGAATCTTCCTCCGTTAATCTGNGTATACATTGATGGGAAAATCGTTAACAATGAAGTCGCTAATTTTTTGACAGAATTAAAAGTATCTGGAATACTATTCCATACTCCTAATATTATGTTGTCAACACCGCAATTTGTTTCTTTGTTATGTATTCGATGACGTTCCAATTCTTCGATACGCTCTCGCATATTCACAAATTTGTTTGTCCAAATTGGATTAGTTTGCAAATCGATTAACTGCATTTCGAAATTATCTAAATTCCATCCAATTAACATAGTTGTTATCAAATTCTTGAATATCAAATAAATCGGGATAATTAATTATATTTATCAATTTTTCAATTTTTTTAAAATCAGGAAATCTTTGTGAAAACTGTACTTTAATAACACCAAGAATATTTGAAAATTCATTGGTAAAATCCTAATTTGTTTGTTCAAAAATGTCCACTTCACCTAACATTTCTTTTTAGTTTTGGTAAGTATAGAAATTTTCCAGATTTGATATCGTATATAAAAATATCTATTTTAATTTCAAAGCCTGTTATTAATCCAAACATGACTTCAATTGTTTTCTCACGTCCTTGTAACTTTTTATTCAAAGTATTTAAATGTAATTTTTACATCTGTGAAAAACATCAATTTTGTTAGCCACTCTGTATTATAAAGTTCTTTAAATTCAGTCTTATTATCATGTAAAAATAGGCGAATTTATTCCAAACAATTTACAAATCTTTCTAACGATATGGCCCGGCTTAACCAACATACATTATTGCACATTAAAAGAGTATCATATTCACAGTTAACATTATTTAAAATTTGTTTAAATTGTCTTTTATGCATATCACGAGCAACTATAAAATTAATAATTTTATTAACTTGTTCTGACAATTCTTTTAAATCACTTGTGCCGATTTTTGAGCACAACATTTGCTGATGTATAATGCAATGAAATCCAATTATTGGATGTCCAACTTGCGGATTTCAAATAACTTAACAAAACCTATTAGTGCTCTAGTCATATTGGGTGCTCCATCCGTTGTAACAGAAATAATTTTTTTTAAATTGATGTTTAGTTTTTTTAATTCATTGACGTCAATATCACAAACATCTGTACCTCTTGTTCTTTCAGGTATATTAGCTAATTTTAAAAGTTCCTCATGCATTTCATTTCCGTTTGAAAAAAGTGCGAAAATTGCTAATCTAGCAGATGACTTTATATCAGTTGTTTCGTCCAAACAAATTGAGAAGAAATCACAACTATTAATATCAGATTGAAGTTGATCAGAAATATTGACCGTCATTTTTAAAATTCTTTCTTTAACAGTATTTCTACTTAGTTGTAGTTCTTGAATTCTCTGAAGTAGTTTATCTTTATTATTAAAATCTTGGAATAAACTAGGAGCAGCTTTTAACATGGCCGTTTTTAAAAACTCGCCCTCACAAAATGATTTTGAGTGTTTAACAATCATATGTGAAATTTCAAAACTTACTTCAGTGACATTATTAGAGGTTTTTACTAATTTACATAACAAATTAGATTGGTTTTCAATTACCTTCAAGTGTTGAGAAATAACTTCTTTTCTTTCGGCAATATTTAACTCAGAAATTTCTTTGTGGTTTGTTTCAAAATGCCGTTTGATAGAAGATGTCCGAGATACAATAACTTCAGAGCACAGACCGCATCGACTTTTATCTCCGTATTTTATAAAGCCATATTCAATTGTCCATGATGGTAAAAAATTTTGTACATCCTGTAATTTTTGTTTTTTTGTATGTGACATTTTGAATAAAAATTTATATTAATAACCGATAACGTAATACTCGCACACAGTCGTATTCTCTCAATACACGAACGAGAACTGATTATATAATAATAAAGATAAGATAACAATATGTCATTGTGAAATATTTATTATTAATATGAGCAATTGATAATTCAATTTATTGTATGTTACTTAAAAATCTAAAAATATATATGGACAAATGAAAGTTTTTCGAGTGCCATCGAAAATCTCATGCGTGCCACTTATTTTCCATCCCTGATATAGATTATCGGCCATAAATTCAGTTTAAGAATTAGATAAACGCTTTTTTTTTACTGCGGCCCTTAATCGATCAAATGATATTTTTTTGCCTGTGAAGTTTTCATTCTTGAATTAAAGATAATTATCATTTGCCATTTAGAAAAAATATCTTAATGAAATAACAATTAAGTTGTATACCAGTTGTATAATAATAAATTATCCCCTTATAATTTGATATAGATAAATATTTGTACTAATAACTAAGTAGTTATAACTATAGATAAATAATTTAAATAATGTGAATGCTTTTATACAACATAATCTGTTCATTAACTGTAATTTTACTGATAGATCAGATAGATTATGGGACCAACAGTTTACATAACAATTTTATGAAATTATTATGAACTATTTATAAAGTATTTATATAAGTTATTATTAAATATATTTAGGTAGTTAAATTATTTTATGTTTATACTTGATTAGAGTTTGAGTTCCTAGCAATATCTGTCATTTTCTTTTGTGAGGCAGTAAGCTGATGCTCCATTATCATTTGTAATTTTTTATGTGCTTGTTCACTTGCATTTTTTATCACATCTTTAACAAATACAATTATATACATTAAAAATAAAGATGTAAATAAATACATTTTATTAAACTATTAATATACTTGTTAAGGCGGGCTCTAAATTTCTAGACAGTAAATCAGCTGTCTTATTGGTTAGCAAAGAAGTTGATATTTGAGTATCAATTTTTTTTTGTTTTTTCGTCAGCCATTTCAACTGGCTGTTAATATCTTGCAAACATGTGTAAATATCATCAATTTGATTCACAATTCCATTATTTATTTCAGATTTATCAGTAGGCTGCTGTATTGCTGAAAGTGATGATGAGGTTCTATTAAATACAGAACCTCCAGAAAAACAAAGAGCCTCCTCTTTTTCCCCATCAATGAAATTACTTTCTTCAAAACTACGATTTTCAGCACTATGTGTTTCAATGTGTTCATAACTGTATTTTAAAAAATAACATTTAAAATAAGACATGATTTTTTTATTTTTTTTTTATTGACAATTGTAAAATATGTACTGTAAATCTTCTTCAGGATTTTGCGTCAAAATTTGTTGAACTTCATTATTAATTGGGCTGCATTCTCTGATCTCATTTAATTCTAATTCGTATACATTCTAAAATAACAAAACAAATAATTTCTAATAATTAAATGTAATTTACATAAATTACTTTTATATTAATTATTGTCATTTAGTAAGATTCTAAAAGTCTAATACAAATTTTATTTTGAACTCTGATGCTAGGCTACCATAAAAACAGTACCAGATTTATGTATAATAAATATACAGGAAAATATACCCTTGAATATTTCTGGAGATAATAAAAATAATTTTTTTTATTATTATTTTCGGAAAATTTTAAGGTATCCATTCTATAGTTTATTTTTCTGAAAATTTTAATGTACTATACATTTATATGAAGTTTTTAAGTAACAACTGGTTTAAATTCTACAAATCCATGTGAAAATCAATATTATCTAAGGAATAACCACATTACACAGTCTTCACATGGATTTGTAGAATTTAAACCACTTGTTACTTAAAAACTATTCATTGGATATAAATCTGTGATACATTAAAATTTTCTGAAAATAATAAAATAAACTGAATTTTTAACAAAAAGTTAAATTTAATAACAAATATTTTTAGTCATCATTCGTGTAATATAAAAAAAAAAAAATCAGAATTTGATTAATCTTTATTATCTTCCAAGATATTCAAGGGATTAATCTTCATGGGCTTGCCTGTAAATTATATTTCATTTTATAAATCTTTAATAATTGTTGTCCATTAGTATAAAATTTATATTTATAGTATTTATTATTAGCAAATTGAGTAGAATGAACCATCATAAAACCATGATTTTAATTGTAAAATATTCAATATAAATCAGGTACATTAACACCCCCAATGTGGAATTTCATTTAACATTTTTACCAACAATTTTTATTTTAATTGTACACATATAAAATCCCAAGTATCTAATGTGTACTCAGAACCCATTAAAATATATATCCAATATTTGAATTCGATTTCAATTCAGTTTTTATTTTTTCATTATTATATCAATCTTAACCAATATCCAATTGGAATTTGGTAATATCAAAAATGAATTAGTAATTTTGTATTATTATGTCTATAGTTAACAATTTTTTTGTTTTAATCCTTTGGATATTTTAGTATATTGTATTTTAAAATAAAATATAATCTTTATGTTTCAATGGGAGTTTATATAATACAAATAATTAAGTAGTAGGTACCCAAAGAAGGGAAGGAGTATATTATTTGTTTAAATATAATATATTAATGGTCACATAATAATAATAATAAAAAAAAAATAATCTATAGTGTACTGGTAGCAATGTCTGAATAGTATTTTATAATATATGCTAATCATTACTAATATTGTATTATTATACAAAATAAAACAAAATACAAATATATTGATTATTTACTTAAATGTTGTTACAAATTTTATGTATAAGTATTAGATAATAATATTATTATATAATTGTATAAAATTGTAAATTCTATGTTCCAATTTAAACATCTACAGCGAGTGTAAAAAGTATTCGTACACCTTACATTTTTAAATTAATATTAATTTTTCTTCATGATATTCTATTATTCTCGATAAATTAATACATGTATATTATTCTTTTTCGGTTTTTAATTATATTTTTTAAAAAAACCACGATAACAGTTATATTAATAATAATATTTAATAACAAACAAAACAATAAATATATAATAGTAATAAAGAGTTTTATCAAAAAAAAAAACACCTTTAAATTATTGTATAGCCCTATTTAGCATGTAATTTGGTAGATTAGGTACTTATTTATAAAAAAATTTTATCTTATGGTTCATTACTTTATTTTAAATAGCAATTTAAACTAATAATCCTATCTATCATTCCTGTGTCAATGTCATCCATAACAGTTAGTTTAATGTAGTGGGACAGAAATTGTATGCAATTTAAGTATACATATTTAAAAATGAATACCAACATAATATATAATATATAAATAGTTGTTACATTAATAATAAGTATAAAATTATAAATACCTTTGAATAGACAGAATTGGGCGACTGTACTACTGAAATGGGTTGTATAGCGTTAAAATTATGGCTCTGCATGTTCTGTAGGCTTTTTATCTTCAAGGAATAATGAAATATTTTTTAGATATAAATTTATTTGTACAAAAATCTGTAAGTACCTGTTGCATTGAAGCTGAACTATTAGAATTAATATTTATTCCTTTTAATCTCAATTTTTCTTTTACTAAACAATGAACTTCCATTGAAGTTAGTTCAATCAGGTTCCCTTTTTCTTCATATGTTTTAATTACTTGAAGTATAATAAACATAATATTATATTAAGTTGTAAGAAAATAACCAAAAATAATACACTTAAACCCGTTCTCACTAATATAAATGTTGATTTTAAAATGGAGTTTATAAGATAATTAACCAATCATGGTCAGTTAGGTCAGCCATAAACCAATTTTAAGAATACGCCTTATTTTATGTTGGTGAGAACGGCTATTAGTGTATTATATCATTATGTAAAATAATCAAAAATATGAAATAACTGAGTATTATAAAAAAATGCATGCATAAAAGTAAAATAATAGTAAATTTCAAATATGTAAAATAATTTTGTAGACAATTTAATAAGGATGAATATTATAATTAATAGAAACTGCATTTTATAATAGTAAATAAGAAAAATTAAAAAATAATCAATGATTAGCTAATATAAAATTTAAACACTAACAAAAATTCTTTATATTCCATTATAACTTTAAAAACAATATGTAACCTAACTATATAGGATAAACCAAATAAAAATTGAGTTGGGTTTTCTTTGAATAATATAATTACCTTCTGAATTGCCTTGGGAGATATTTATAGAATCCATAAGAGTATCTAAAGTAGGTGCTTTTGGGAATATTGTTGTAGGTTCAATTTTATTACTTTCCATAATTTGTTCCTTAATAGATATCTCCGGAGAAGAAATAATTAATTGTCCTTCTTGGAGTGATTTTGGTTGAATTGCAAATAAATTAATAATCGTAGAGCATCTTTTTACACCATTAAAAATACCACCTAAAAAATTAAATCAAAAATAGGTAATAGTATTGATTATAATATATAATAATTTATATTAATTAAATAGTTAATTAATGTATGATTTTAAAAATATATTAGTATAATATTACTATATATAATAAAATGTATTATCTTATTGACAATAGAAAAACTATATATAATAATTAAACCATGGTCAATAATTTTCATTGGAAATTAACACCATGGAAGTTTAAAAAGTAATTTAATTTACACCAAAACACTGAGTTTACAGTATGTTAAAAATTAGTATGTGAAAAACACTGCATCCACCCACAAATGCACACCAAAGCAAGTGTAATGGGGTAGAAAATATTAGAATATGTTAAAATATTTTTAAAAAGGTAAACAAATTATGCTATAAAACACACACAAAAAAAAAAAAAAAAATCATAAAAGTAAAAGTACTCTGTTAAACAAGTAATAATACTATAGAACCTATAATATTTGTACTTTAGTACAAATTATACTTGATATTAAATTAAATTCACAATTAATTTGTTTTTGTCTTCAAGTATTATCAAAATAATATAAAAATAACAGTCTTTTGAAAATTACCAAGTTATAAAAATAATAAAAAGTATATGCTACTATTCACTCCATGCAAAGCACTTGAGAGCTACACATCTACTGTACTGCATTAGTATGCCTAATCCAATTTAAATTTCAATTAAATGTGTTTTAATTTTTTTTAAATTAAATATTACAATAATTGGTCATATCAACCAGTAATAGGTGTTGAACCTAATTATCAGATGGGAAACTAATGCCAATTGAATTTACAATTTATGCCATTTAACTTCTGATGCCTAGATGTAAAATTTTAAAATTTATTTTCCTTAATTATTTGATTTAAAAAATGAGCTATACAATATCTGAAAATATATTTATTATAATGGTTGGCTCCCATCCATTGTTTGTTTTTTCCCTAATTAACTCCAGGCAAATAAGGTAAAAAAAAAAAGTACAAATGTGATGCAGAAAACATCATTGGTATCATATCATACTTTTTATGATAACAAGAAATTTGTGTCATATCTTATTTTTTATGATAACAAATTCTATTGAATCTATTAAAATTATTGGAGTTTGAATTTTAAACAATATATACCTACATGGATTTTTGTTAAACAAATTTTATCTAGTTAATTGAATTTCATTACTTTTAATCATGCAATTTAACTGGATATGACGCATTGTGTATATGCAAATTTGTGTTGTAAAAACATGGGCTGTCTGGGAATTTATCTTTTTGTAAAATAGAAGCTATGCGCTATGTCCACGATAATATAGTGTTCAAAAAATATTTTATCCGAAAAGTAATAAATATAAAAATATAATGAATGAAAATTATTTTAGTTGAACATATTCATTATCTTATAACAAAAACATACTGCATTATGTACCACAGAATAAACTTAGAACAAAGATAAATAGGTGTGTGATGTTTATAGAACAAAAAACTAGTATTTGATTTATTTTATATAGTTGGCTGAAAATATCTCAAATATTTGTCTGCCAAAATACTGTTTTTGATAATATATTTCTATCTAAAATATTAATTGATAATTAGCAAATATCCCTCTTCCACATATCAGACGAGAAGACTTTCTTAGAAGACAGTGGCAGAAATATACCAAAAATCAATCTATACCGATATATGATGATATAACAAATCTACCACCGATGAGACTAAAATCACAAAATCCTGGCTAGCTAGAAAATTCCGGCACATTTCATACAATCAAGGAATGATGGAAAAAGGAACGGAACACGAAAAAACCTTATAATTATGAACTTGGATCTCAAGCTCCCAGGTTTTAATCTCCCAAGGAGAGAATGGTCAAGACCCAACCGCTTTTGCTGCGGACAAGGAAGATCAAACCACCTGATGTACAAGTGGAAACTGGCAGATTCGGAAATATGCGAAACTGGTATGATACAGACAATGAAACATCTTGTTGAAGAGTGCTTGGCACACCATTTCCCAGATGGTATGAAAAGTTTGCATGCATTGGAAGGGGATTCTATCCGCTGGCTGTCCGATTTGAAAAAAGAATTGTAAGCCCTTATTAGTCATTATATTTATCTTGTTATTGTTAGCTATAATTGTAAAATTTAAAATTGTTGTCACCTAAATTTTTAGTTTATATATGTTAATTTCTGTTATATATTGTGTTACTACTTGGATATTGCCATACGAATATATATATATTCAATTCTTAGTATGAATATCTGAAGCTTGAGTANAAAAGAATTGTAAGCCCTTATTAGTCATTATATTTATCTTGTTATTGTTAGCTATAATTGTAAAATTTAAAATTGTTGTCACCTAAATTTTTAGTTTATATATGTTAATTCCTGTTATATATTGTGTTACTACTTGGATATTACCATACGAATATATATATCTAAAATAGTATAACACATATTTAACCATTATAATTCAATCTGACATAAAAAAAACATAGTTACTTGGATCTGTGAAATTTACTTCATTATGATCAATTTTAGCATTAAGGATTATCATATTTAGCATAGGACTGTGTAACAGAATTTCACTAATGCTTACAATTTTTATGTTTTGAGAAGAGTTAATATCCACTGATGTTTCCATAACATACAGCAACTAAACAGATATATCAAACATAATATTAAATAAAATAATTAATAAAAATAAAATGTAAAAACTTGTAACTAACATTATTATCTATATCGCTCAAAAATAAATATCTTCCAGTTCCATCAACTGACAACTTCATAGGATTATTAGTATTATAAGGTCTAACAAATTTCAATTTCTGAATTTGTTTCCATGTTTCACAAGACCATAAAATTAATTCGTTATGACTAGAAAAAGTCACAACATACTTCCACAGTTCAATACTAAAATTTAAAATGAATACATTATTTATGCTATTCTAATCAATTAGTAGTGTAAATAAACAAATAAATAATCTTTATTATCTAAAATAACACCAGCATACATTTATGATATATTTTCATTGAACTATCATAAATTTGTTATTTAAATGAAAAATAAAAAAAAACCAAAAATAAAAATTACATACTCTCCAACAACATGTTTCCGATTGTCTAAAAATAACATAGACCTTAAAGACAAAAACACATCATCAGGATGCCAATTAAATACACATTTCGGGAATTCCCTTGAGGTTTCAAATGAAATCTGAAATAAATGTTTTTATTAAATTCAATTTAACACCAAAAAAATATCATATTATATACTTGATAAAAAAAAATAGATCCATTGCTAAAAGCTATAGCTATACTTGAACCATCAGGAGAAAATGATACACTAACTACGTCTGAATCACTTAAACTGAACTTAATAACTGAACTTTTAATAGTATTCAACACATTTTTATCCAAAGTTGTATTTAAATCAAAATTCCCATAAACTGGACCAGCTGTTTGACTACTTGCAATGCCAATATGCCATACTTCAACCTTATAAAAACAATAAATAAATAAATATTACTGTTAAACACTAAATAAAATTATACTTACATTTGAACCCCGAACAATTGCTAATATTTTTCCTTTGTATATTGGTTCAAATTCAAGCAATTTTAAAATATTAACTTGTTCAGGAATGTATTGACACCAAGATATAAGATGTTTGTTAGAATAACAAAATTGTGGATCCTGAAAAATTAAACCACAAATTTAATTAATTTTCTTTAACTGTCTGAACTTGATTGTATTAAATATTTTTTGGATTAATAATAATGTTATTATATATACTCTAATGATTAATGTTTCTTTAAGATTCTGAGTAGAGCTTAAGGTTTTACAATGGTTTTAGATTCCAAGTATAGCGAGGGGGGTTTTACTAAGATGTTTATTTCATTTTTCTTTTTTTATTCTTCTAGTCTGTGGATTATAACCTAATGTAACCTACCTCTCCAACTTTTCACCTACAATAATAACTTCCATTCCTAGTGACAGCTCTTTTTTTTTTATTATTGTTCTGTGGACAATTTTTCTATCAGTGATCTTGGTATGATTTTTATGTGTAGTAACATTTCTGAAAGGAAATTCGTGTAGGGGGGTACTTTTTCAATTTTCTCAGGAGTTTTTACATCAAATGCGAAAAACCAAAAAAAAAAAAAGCTGGGAAATACAGGATTCATTTTAATTTTGGAATTGGAATTTTACCACAATTTGACATATATATTGTTGACAAAGCAACATCAATAAACTGAATTCCATTCAGAATGTCTATTTTTACAATAATATTTTTTCAATAAAAATGTACAGTGTTCATTGTGATTTCTTATCCCATAACATGTTATTTTATTAAATATTAATTGTTTTCAGGCATATTTTCTAAAAATTAAAAGGGCTATAAATAAGAAATTATTCATTAGTAATAAATATGTGATAGATTAACATTTTCTGAATACAATTTTTTTTTACAAAATAGCTATTTTGAAAATTGTTGAAAGTTAATTAATAGTTATTATTTATTATTTTTTTTATAGTGTTTAGGGAATGAAAATAAAAAAAAATTTCTTTAAATTGATGTTTCTCTCGAAGACAAACTAATTGAAAAAAAAATCAAACAAAATTTAATATGAATTTACCTTATTTACAGTTATTACCTTTAACAGTATCACATTTCAAAAATCAACTTTTCTCATTGAGCTGATTCAATATGTATTAGAACAACCAAAAATAAAATAAAATATTAGAAGAAATGCTCAACAAATTCAAGATACAATTTGACAATTGAAGAAACATCTTAATAAATTAGTTCTCGTACCAACAAAACTGTATCCAAGAAATTATTCAATATTTAGTTGAATATCTCAGTTTGCAACATTGAAAGCTAAATAGACTAGTCGCTCCAAATCCGGATAAATTCTAAGAGTTAATAGTGTAGAGTAGATAAATAAAACAATAATGGTTTTAGATTCTTAGTGGAGTGAAGAATGGATTGGGTTTTACATTTTTTTTTTTATTGCTCAGATTTACAATCATAGCACTTTTTCTAAAAAAGAAAATCTGATTAGGAAGGTATTTTTTGATTTTTCCAATGGGGAAAAACAAGTGAACAGGAAAATAGGTACAATATTAAACAAATATTATTAGAAAAAAAATGCATATGCAAATGTGAATAATTTACCATAATATGACATATTTATTGTTGACAAAGCAACACTATCAATGAAACTCTACTCAGAATCCTTTTTAGTAAGCAATGGTGTATTGTTGCTTATCTTTTTGTAAAATAGAAGCTATGCGCTATGTCCATGATAATATAGTGTTCAAAAAATATTTTCAATAGAAATTTATTTTATCCGAAAACTAATAAATATAAAAATATAATCCTATATAATTGGATATACATTAAATTTCAATCTGTATCTTACTTTTCTAACTTCCCACTTACAACAGAGGCTACACCCGCCCCTAAAATCCTAAGACAGCTTTTTTAATATTATTTTTTAGATTTATTTAAATTAATTTATTACTACAAAGAATAGAAAAACAAAATAAGCCAAAGGATAAATCACTAACAGAAATCAAGTGTACAAATGCAATTGGTAATTTTACAGGACATCTTTAATAATCTGGTGTACAAACTATATTGATTAGTGATTTGCCCTTTGGAATATGTAGTTTAACAGCTAATTCAAAAAGGGGCAGAATCTTGGTTTAAATTAAAATTTTTAAAATATATTACGCATAATTTTAATTATGTAAAAAGTAAAAGTAATAAAGCAAATATTTATGATAATAATTGAACTTTTATAACCAAAAATTAATATTAGTACATTATTATTATTTCATAATGATCTAGATAAATTGGTTAACCAACAGTTTTAATAATAATTAACATGCATAAAGATCTCAGATACTTGTTATAATTTCACTAAATTAAGTCTATTCAGATTGTTTACACTATTTAAACAATTTGTTTTACCTATCTAGTTTCAAACATTAAAAAAGTATGTTCTGTTATTCATTACTCTTGAATTATTCAACATATTAATTGTTACAAAAATGACAAAATTATTTACTAATTAGTAATTATTATTATTTCCAGGTCAATCCCAAACATAAAATAACATTAATTAATTTTGATTAGCTAGATTAATATTAAACATTGAATACAAACCCCATTGATTTGAAATACAGGAAAAGCTTTTATTGTATGCATTTCAACATCTTCCTTAACAACATAAATGTATATGTTTCCAGATTGATCAATACAAGCCAACATTATAATTTCATAGATATGGGCAAAACTAATATCTTCAACTGCCGTTGAAAATCCTTTGATTAAAGCTCTACTGTAATTATCATGATCTATTTTGACAATACGAACCAATCCTTCAGAAGTATCGGCTGTAAAACACAAACATATTTTATTTAATATTAATAGATAAATTTGATTTTAGTTTATTCACGTTTTGTAAAGGCATAAGCTAGGTATTTTTCACCAATATGCAAAGCAATCAATTGTCCTCGATAATAATATTGACCCCAACTATAGTTGACAAAATTTTTAAGTGTTAACTTTGAACTTCCTTTGTTATGTGATCCTGTACTTGAAAAAATCGTAGTACAACTATCATGGATCAAATGTGTACTTTCTTCATCATTTCCAATAAATCTCCTACAAATTAAAAAAAAAAAAATTAAAATAGCCACTTATTTTTTTTTTAAACTCAGTACGCTAAACTAGAATTAAATCAAAAGTATACAATACATACATATAATAATATAATAGGTTATAGTGGGTAATAGTATTTCTCATGGTTTCATAAAGTTATTAAGTTCTCTTAAACAAAATATTTAAAAAATGTTGATGTACAATTGTATGAATATCAATAAGCAAGGGAGTAGAAGACTGAAGAATCAGATTATCAATCGTCATGCATAAAACATTATTATTAATTAGTTATATGAGTACCTATTATAAACATATAATAACATATGTACGAGGGCTAATCAAAAAGTATCGAGACTGATAATATTACTCGGAAACCGAGCGTTGAAGAGCAAAACGATTTGTAAACCTAGCTTCTATGACTTATACTGAGCACATCTATTCGTATAAAATCTCTATAAACTTCTTCGTTTTGATTTGACGATATTTTTCTAAAATTTGTTTTTCACGTTTGGCGNTTAATGGCAAAAACCACGAAATGTTGCATCCCTTTGAAACTGGTAAAAAATGCAGACAAATTTTCTAAACTCTCCAAATGTGTCAAGTTACTCTTCTTTTGGGTTTATTACAAAATCGCCAAACTCGAAAAATATATTTTACAAAAATATCAGTGAAATCAAACGGAAGAATTTTATATAGAAGCAATAAAAACAAATGTACTCAGAAAAAGTCATAGAAGCAAGTGATACCAATCCTACTGCTCTTCGATGCTCCTTTCCGAATGATACTACCAGTCTTGATACTTTTTGATTAGCCCTCGTATAGGTGCATATGCAAAATAAATAAATATACACAGAGAAAGAACAAAACAGAGCTTGGAGTATTATATAATCATTACTTAGCACTGTAATTAATTTGGTTCATTAAATTATTAATTATTATTAATTTCAAAAGGGATAATACATTATTATTATTATTATTATTATTGTTTTTGAGAATTTATTAGAACTGGTATTATGATAGGTAATTCATAATAAATAACAATAAATATAATGAATAGTAACAATATTATTATAAGGGTTTTGCACTTTTTAAAACATTTACATAAACATGGATTTTTCTTATGGTTTTCATAAGGCAACATTATTATATCAATGGTGTTTTGTTAAAAGGGTGTATACTACTATTAAAAACAGAAAATACGTTTTTGGTATCAAAAAATCAGAAAAATTAAGCGTATAAACTGGTAAAAGGGCATATTTAAATACAGGAAATTAAGTTGATAATGTCGACTAAAAGATATCCAGGGGCTCTTTTAAAATATAATTAAATCAACACTGATTTGTTAAATAAGCGTATACATTCCATGCATGTATCCCTTTGTGGTATAAGGTATTATGTAATCCTCATTTCAATTTTATATTTAATAGCATATTACATTTTGCTGTTCTATTATGTGTCTGATATTTATTAAATTGAAAATGGTTTAAATATATCTATAATATTTATAACACTCCAGGCTTTGTTTTGCTTTGTTCCTATAAATATATGTATATTTTTTTTTTTCGAGTATTAATCTATTAATTGTTTTATATTCAATAGGTATGGCAAATGTTGGTGTATCAATATTTATATTGTGATACCTACCAATTATTAGCCTCTGACATTATTTCAGCTTTGATAATATCATTATAATAATCAGAATATTAGCTACTACCTCTAATACCTAACATTATTTTTCATTGCTTTTGTCGAGAATATTACAGCAAAAACAATATTAATTAATTAATCACTTAGGTATAGGTAATCAAGATGTATGTTTAATAAAAGACAACCTATTATTAATAGATACCTACTTTGGCTAGGTAGCTATTGATTGATGAAAAAAGTAAACAATTGAATGAACAGAGTGAACATATTCATATAATAAATTTGTATGAAACACATTTTTATCTATTAATAAGTAAATTGATGATTACAAATTGAGAACATGAGTCTATCTTAATATATCAAAATTATAGTATTTTTGACAGATAGGTAAATAATAGGTATTTCAATATTAAATATGAGTACCTTTTACACTTACGAAGTATTTACGTATACACTCCTGCGTTAAATGGTATGGTAACAATAAAATGTACTCGTTGTTTTATATTGCATAATTTTATTGTTACCATCACTGTATCATTTATCGCAGCTATATGTATGTAAGTATTCAGGTAACCCAATTAATAGATTCTTTTGGCTTAAATTTGTATTATTATTTTGGCCATTTCCAGAATATAGTTCACACACATACACACACTTGCACCCGAGCACAAGGGTAGGTACACTCACACTCACACATACACACACACACACACACACCCACGCTCTTTAGGTACCTATTGTATTTTTTACTGTAAGAAAAGTGAACAAGTTTTAATTAGAATTGTAGAATGTACAGTATAGGTGTATAGAACGATATCGCAATAGTTTTTAATATTGTATAATACTTACACCGCTTCTGTGTATTCATCCGCCATTATTGAACAGTCGCCGGAGAAATGTTAGGTTCAACAATATAAGACCGTGATGCAGTATTTATCGTACTTCGTTGTAAACGATGGCGGAATTACGACACAATAACTATTTAAACAAATAAAAACCTCATAACGTTAACGACACAATCGTAGAGAAAAACATTAAACGGGCAAGAGATTTAGGTAGAAAATTAATGGACGGCATCCGCGGAGACACAGACCGAGTAGTAGTGAAGCGTAATCAACAACAAATGCCGAAAAAGCTAGTCGTACCAACTTGCGGCGGCTATAAACCAAATTTGTTATAAACGGAAAGGATCTGTTTATGAAAACGACAACGGGGAAGAATCCAAAATATGCTTGCCGGCTGCCCGGTTGTCCAATCGATAACGTAATAGTGGCAATGTACCGTAGGTAATGTAATGCAAAGCCTGGGTGATAACGTACCAATGAAAAACGTTAACACGTTGGAAATGTGATAAAACATTTGACGGACACACCTAGTATATTAACACTTATTTTCACAAAACAATTATCATTATATTATATTATAATAATATTATATTTTGGAGTAGAGAGGAACAAAGTTTGTTGGATATAATAGGTAGGTATTTTAATTTTCGAACAATTTCTAAAAACATGCCACGGTTAATTATTATATTCTGTAGTTTGAGTCACAGATATTTAATAATATAGGTAGTAGGTACCTACATCAGGAATCTGCTTTTCTGAATTCCCTTTTGTAATTCTATTGAACTACAATTAGAAAATGATTTTATACAATTTACTATTGTAGGAATTTATAGATCCCCAAATAATAATGCTGAACAATTCCTAATTAATTTGGAAAAATACTTACAATTCACTTTAAATATTAAACACATTATTATAATTGGTGATATAAACATAGATATATGTATAAGACAATTCTAATATTGTTAATTGCTATTTAGATATACTGATTAGTTCAATCTGATCTCATGTATAAACAATTATACAAGAACATCACTTAACTTTAAATTTTGCCTTGATCATATATTTATTAACAATCATATAAACAATACAGTTGAATCTTACATTGTTAAACGCACCATAACAGACCATTATACCACAGCTCAAATTTTTGATACAATGCACCTAATAAAAATACTATAATTGATAAATATGTTTTAAATCACTAAAAGTATATTTATAACTTTGACTATCTAAATGATCTAATATACTCAGAAGAGTGGTTTACTATATTAAATGTTAAGGATGTTAATGTAGCTCTTGATATCTTTAATAGTTAATTAATTAAACTTATAGTTAAATCTGTGATAAATCATAAATAAATCCAATAATGAAATAAATATAGGAAGCTAAAAAATTGGATAACTAGTGGTATTGTTGTCTCAATAAACAAAAGAGAAAAAATTATCTAAGCGTCTAGAAACTAACATTTTAACTTTGACCTAAAAAATACTTTTGCAATTTATAGAAACATACTTACCAAACTTATTCGCAAAGCAAAAGAATTATACTATACAGATTTCTTTCCTTTAAAAATAATTCTAAAGAAACATGGAAGTTAATTAATGATATTGCTGCTAAAAATAGTCTATTACTAATATAATTAATAGCATAAAATTAAGAAATAGATCTAGTTCAGATGATATGTAATGAATTTAATAGATTTTTCATAAATGTTCCATAAAGTACCAAAGATAACATTATTTCTAGAAAAATGACAAATATAAATTTTAATTTTAATAGTAATTCTCAATATTTAAATAACTCAATATTTAATGATAACATTTTCCTAACTGTTATAAATGAATCTGAAATTAAAAAAACACATTAATTCAATTAAACCGCACTCTTCATTCTTTGAAAATGGACTACAAACTATTATTCTTCAAAAAACATCAAATGCAATCTCCTTTCCTTTAATGTTAATATATAATTTAGCCCTGTAGTCTGGTGTATATTTATTTATTTATTTATTTAAAAAATGTGTAGTTACTTAAATTTTCAAAAATTGAAATAAAATTGATTGCAACATTTATGAAAAATGTATTAAATTTAGACTTATGGGATTTCTGGATAAAAATAAATTTTTGATAAAAACTAGTATGGTTTTATAATTGGTAGATTTACTAATAATTCCCATTTTATAGTAAATTATTTCATTTAAGAAAATCTTGATAAAAAATAACAGGTGATAAAAATATGTTTGATGTTAAAAAAGCTTTAGATTCGATAAACCATAAAATACTTTTAAGATAATTGGAAAATGAAGGAATTCGGGGTATTGCTCTTTAATTACTAAGTCTAATTTATCTAGCTGAACTCAGTTAGGTAAAATACATAACCTATATAGTAATCCCTGAAAAGTGACTCATGGTGTACCCCAAGGTACAGTCTTGGGACCATTGTTCTTCATAATATTTTTTAATGACTTACTTGACTTAATGCTAAATGCTAAAATAATTTGTTTTGCAGATGATACTGTTATATTAATGTCTGATAGATCATATGATGAAATATATTCTAAGGCAATTAGGATTGCAAACCAAGTCAAATCATGGTTTGATATTAACTTATTGGAACTAAATCTATGTATTTCAAAATTAATAATATTAATCATGATAAACATAAGAAAAAAATATATGTACACTCATCTTCTTGTAACTACTCCAACTGTAAGGTAAGTTGTTTTTTGTTAGCAGAAGTAGATAACATTAAATATCTTTGGTTACATTATGATAATAAATTAAAATATATAAATAAACTCATATAAATTTTTAACAAAAACTATTAGAAATACTTTTATATTTTAAAAGATATTAGATACATAAATAGTACACAATATAAACATATTATTTATCTATCATTTGTACAATCAATTTTAAACTTTAGTATTGAATTATGTTACTCCCATCTACACTAATCATTTATGCAATCTAAATAGAACAGATAATATACTAATTAAATATATTCTTAACAACCCATCAATTAACAATAATACTGATATCCATAAAATCTTGAATATTCAAAATTTAAACAGACATTTTAAAAAGCGATTATTACTATTAGTTTTTCAATATAAACATTTATTTACACTAATAAATCATGACTACCATACAAGGTACCAAAAAAATGTTAATTTGATTAAGTATGAATGTAATTCCAATTTTGGTAAAATGAATCCATTAATTTATGTATAAAATTTAATATAAATATATTGAGTTACCAAAATTGTATTTTGTATAAAAACTTTATTAATAAATTAACATTATGAATACATTTTATATTTAGTTTTAAATGTATTAATCTATATATTTTATTTATTTTACTTTATTTATATACTTTTATTGAATCAGTTATTATTTTTTTATGCCATCTATATTGCTATATATACTATCTATATCTGTTTATCTATACCTATTGTAAATTTCTTTTCAAATTTTCAAGTTATTGATTTTAATTATTTAATTTTTTATGTAGCAAATCTTAGATTCAAAAAACTTAAAGAAATAATTGAACCCTTAACCCCATAATAAGCATTAGCTTACAGGAGTTTATTAACTTTTCATGTAAAAGAATATAGAAATTTTCTGTCCAAATTTCAAGTCTCTACGAATATTTTTAACTGAATTTTAACACATAATAGAATTGAGCAAATAATAAAAGCATTATTTTCATACATTTCCAATTTTCTTACGTTTTTTAACACTTTTTCTGTATTTTTGGAAAATCTATGTGGATATCAAAAAACGACTTCCCTAAAGTACAAAGTACCATTTCAAGAAAATTTTTTTTCAGAAAAGGGTTCACAATGTAGGCATAGGAGCAAGATTTCTGGTAGAATTTGTGTACATAGGATAAAAAAATGAAAATAAATTGAATATCTTTGTAAAACATTACATCAGAATACATTCTTCGCTACATTCAGAATCTAAAATAAAAATAAAAATAAAAAACAAAACTGTAAACCAATAGATCTCTCGTTACGCTTCTAATCTGAAAAGTCCTGGGGTGGAAATTTGGCGACGAATAAATGGTTGTGAATCGTTGGCGGCGAATAATTTACTAGATCCTTTAAATAATTAGGTAACTATTTTAGTAACTCAATGACCTGGTGCAACCCAAACTGCTCCCATCCATTTTTTTTTTCAAACGGGTCCCGTTGAAAAGGGTTGCACGAGTAGGTCAATTTCCAAACGGATCTGGTATTCGGTACTACGTGTACATTTCTCATAATAAAATAAGTACAAATACGACGCAGCAATTAGTGTCATATCTTATTTTTCACGATAAAAAGTTCTATTGAATCTATTGAAATTATTGAAGTTTGGATTTTATGTTTCAAACATTATATACCTTTATGGATTGTTAAATTAATTTTATCTACTTTATCGAATTTTATCAATTTTGTTTACACAATTTAACCAAATATACGATATGGGTTGGCACATTTTGTGTATTTGTGAATTTGTGTTGTAAAAAACAGGGGCCGTCTGGGAATTTTCCTTTCCTAAAACAGGAGCCGTTTGGGAATTAGCCTTTTTATAAAACAGAAGTCGATCCTAAAAACGAAAAACATATTCTTAGTAGAACTCTACCAAAAAAAAGTTTGGCCCCCCTTGCTATAGTATAATTAGAGACTTGCGACGGCCTCTTATAAACGGTAGTTAGGTATCCGGTTATCTTCCAGATAATCAAGTAACCGTAGTGTAGATACAATTAGATACCTATCATTAGTATTATTAGTATACTCTATTTTTCTTTACAACGTAAAATCAACCTTGTATTATAAATGTTTTATTAGTTTTGAAATCTTTTTCATTATTTCAAACGGACATTATCAGAATATGAATACTTCCGCAACTTCGATTATACCTACACCCAGATAATAAAATCTATTCCTTCTGATGTATAGAAAAATATAGAGCGATTGCAACGACCTTAATCACAGAAATATAATATAATATGGATAAATCGTTATATTAAGCGTGCATTATTATATTTTTACAATATTACCGAAAAGTTTTTGTAAATATTGTTAGTTATAAAACAGCAGCATTTTGTTCATTTTCATTATCAATGACAATTACAATCGTTACGAGGACGACGTGGTGGCATTCGCATGTATAACTTTTGACAGCACATTGAAATCAATGACTTGCATCCGAGTCGCGCGATGATTTATTAACAATTTTCAAAGCCGTCGCGCCGTCGAATAGGTATTACTTACCCAAGTAGGTAAGCGTATATAATACTTTGTATCATGTATATTCAATGTCGTCAACCTTGACGCACTTTTGTCATTGATAGCAAGCAAAATATTATTATTTGTTATTATTTAACATTATTATTTTTATTTATACTTACTTATTTACTGTATAGTT